GAGGTTGAAACATTTTAAAAATTTTTGAAAGAATGAATCGTCGTGCGATTGCATTTTGTTAGAATCGCGGATTTATTTCGTCAGTGCGACGTGTTGTTTAGACTGTAATATTTTTATTTCGGCTTTTCATTCTTCCTAAATCACAAATTTCCGACGACATACCGGTATGTCTTATGCCACGAGGACGTTGACTGACTTCAGTTAGAAAAATGAGTTATTATATAATCATCGGTGATGAGGTGCTAAACATAAATTAAAGCAGTTAGTTCATCCGCAACCCGAATTTGCTAGATTGAAAAGCGGCCATAAAAATGCAGAAATAAAACGGAAAACATGTTCACAGATTGCCGTGTTATTTAGAGCAGTAAAGCTTTTAATTTGTGGCAAGTCGACGCAACCACGAGTACGTTGAGCGCAATTTAATTAATATAGACATTTTAAATTCCCGCAGTTGTTGTAGATTGAATATTTCACGCGATAGAAATATCATTAATCGCTGGAAATGTGGGCTCTTTTGACGAACGCGTAATTGCGGCGACCGTTTCAGAAGCCGTTAACATGGGAATTTCCGATTTTAAATACGTAGTCGGTTTGCCGAAAAGTATGAAAACAAGAGGATTTTTATTCGAAATTGAAATACAATGCTCATTTTATCGGTTTTTGCAATAAATAGTTGCTAATTCTCATGCAATTGTTGCTATTTGCTGGAAATTTGTCGGTATCTTATTTTGTTTCTGATTGGCATTTCATTTGGTTCGCAACGTACCTGCTCATTCAAGTAAATTTTAAAGGAACCGCAATGCTTGCAACGCGTGTCATCTTGATTCCAATACTTTTAGGAATGGAGAACTCGGCACGTGACAATGTAAGTTAAATTATCACAATTACGGGGTCATTAGTAAGCGATTTTGCCGTAATTGCAAAATTGATTTTGGTCGATTACGTGCAAGCCTAGTTACCAAGTTAAATCTTCGTGTATTGTGGTTCTTTCGACACCGTGAAATAGAATCCGTGTATAAGTAATTACATTTGAAGATTGGTAAAAGCAAAAACACCAAATCTATGAAAATTCAAATAAAATAAAATCGTGAAAACAAGAAATTTATGAACATTTTTCGATGCCTACCCACATTTTTATTGGAATTCGTTCCGTGTTTCACTCAATTGAATGATACTAATGATGGTGATTCTGGTTGTTAGTAAATCTGAAAACTCATTGGTTTTTGTGTTTTCATCTCACGTTTTTCGCCGTTCATATTACGCAAGCGAAAATCCAGCTTTTATCAATAACAGAAGTGGCGTTTAGCTGCATCACTAAATTAATACAGACACAATTTTTCAGAGTTAAATCAATTTCACCTGATTCTCATGCATCGGAGGTCTATCAAACGACGCAACAAAATATGGAACATGTGGTGACTTTGCAGGTACGTTATGAAATGTTTTTAAGGTATTTATATCGTTAGCATACGTAAAGTGCAGTTATTTATTTAATATACTCCACACTAAGCTACGAAAGCTTTTGCGGTATTGATATAAATATAATAACCACTTTTCTTTTATTAACTTCAGGATGGGGAGGAAAATTAGATGACATTATTGCCCCAGTCATCCGCAAACGGATCTGCTCATTCACAGAATGATATTTCGTCTTCCATCCTCATATTTTATCGCTAGCGTATTGGCATGTATCTGAAATTCACAGTAATTTCGTGCATATTTGTGTTATAATGTTGCTACCTTTCTTTTTTTATGTATCCAACGTACTTGACATAACGCAAAATACACATGAGTTTATTATCTCATACAGTTGTTTGCTTTCCACACATACGGTAAATTCAGCATTCTTATACAATTTCCTTCAATTGGTTGAAAAAGTACGCTTCAAAAGTTTGCCCAATCCTTATTGATACCCCCGCACAACGTGCAGAAACCCTGAACCTTCGAAGAAAATCAGTTCAAGTTCATAATAAATCGATTTACTCAAAGTCGATGGCAATGACTCCTTCATTTTAGCTTATTCTTTCTTAATATACCAGGTCTATTAAATGTAAATTAAAGGAGTGAAATCCATCATTGAACTAACATGCATATTCATCTTATTTTAACGCAAACCGCTCTAATATTCTCAGAGAGTCCATAGCATTCACCACCAAGACCATATAAGAAATTTATTTTGTATTTAATTCTATAATTTGTTTTTTTGCGTCTTACATGTACATATATTATACATATTATGCAGAAATATAGATATATATATGTATGACGAGTTTACTTCAAATTGGGCGTTAGGTATACTTCGGGATAACGCGATTCCACGGACTGCGGTACCGGTAGTCTACTGTGGCAGATTGTATACCCGCACTACTTTGTTTTGGCTATCGTGTCCATATATTTGAGCATCGCTCTGTTGTAACTTAATAATTAGTACTCACGCATAGTGACTGAATAGAATTTGATAAAGTTGACTCACGAAGAAGGGATCAGCGACTTTACCCTGCATCAAAAATTCATTTTCAAATAATTAGTTATCTAAGGCAACTTTTTGTTTGTGTAGCGCCAAATATCAGAAAAAAAAAAACTCACGGCGTGCTTACACGAAATAAACTAATTTTTGTGATTGTAATGTGTATTTTATGCCCTTTAAAGTTTGTAAACATTTAAACATTTAGGCCTAAGGAAAAAAGACAAAAGGTCAACTCTTCTTCCTCATCTCTGCCTGATTTTTCTTTGAAATGCTAAAATAATACCTTATGTTCGCTAAACTCGGTTCAGAATGTGAATAAACTGCAGCTCACGAAATTGCAGCAAGTAGTGGATATCTCTATTGTTACGTAACAATAGGGCAGACCCTGCGTAACAGACGATACATAACGATATAGGAAGGTAAAATGAATTTATTGATTCGTATAATTATGAATTTGTAGGCTTTATTAACTTTGTTGGGTTGCGTAGTTATAGAAAGATTGTGCTTTTGCTAGTTCCCATTGTGCTTTATATAAAAAACATTGCTTTTGCCTTTAATGACATTTTTCCATTGTATACGGGGGTATCGGTACCGCAGCGTTTTCAACAAAACCTTTTTAACCACAAGAGAAAAAAAATCAAAGTTTGCCTACCATACGTTTTAATGTCTCCAGTTTGAATAAACTACTGCCTGATTCGAATTGTTCCATAATTTTGTACCCATAAACTGCACCCGTAGACAATTGCTCAAATGGACATTTGCTTCCACAGACTTTGGCACCGAGTTTGCAGCCGCCGACATTTGCTTTCTCGCCCATTTGCACAAACATAAAATACCACAAAAAATGCCTTGCCCATTTTCTAAAAGTTCTCAAATTATAATTTCATAATCATAATTATGAGCGAGATTTTGAAACAACTTTTTATACGAATTTGTTTGCATCTGGACCAGCGGCTGGTAAGAGATTAAAGTCAAATATGATACGCGTGTAGATTCTCGTGCGACATTTCGCATTTGAAATTTGAAGAAAATTTAGAGTTTAGAAGTTCGAATTGTTTGTTTTCTTTCAAATCAAAATTTAATCTTACTCGCTACAAAAACGGATCTGGGTTTTATATTTAAAGTGATACAATTAAAAGATATTTTATTTTCGTTATAAATCGAAATACAGTGATTGCATAATGTTTGTAACAAATATTTGCATATCCATTAGTAAATTCTTCAATTCATAAAGATAGTACCTTTTACGGGTAAGCAGCGTGACACTCGTGAAAATTGGCAATTGATTGGATAGACTGTCGAAACACCAATTTAACAATAGGAGACACAATATCTTCATACTTGGCCATTGTACATCAACGTCAATTTTTCTACCTCGAAACAGCTATATTGTCGTAATTTTTGATACATGGAACAAAATAAATAATAAATACAAGTATACATGGAATAAAGAGAGTGAAACACATTTAAAGGGTAAAAAAGTATAAAGACTAAGTTTAGTTCGGAAGTAATCAAGTTTCTATCATAGGACTAATGTCCCTTGGGAAATACAAAAGTCTGCTGTCCCATTCCATGTGTTTCCTATGGAATTTTCATATGAATCTCATTCCTACGGACAAGGCTGGAGATGGCATACGGAAGTGACATCCAAATTTCATTATTTATCATATTTTTGTATGGTGTGTAGGCTAAAAGTTATGGCATAAGTGATTATTATTTTTCACACCGTTGTTTTGCCAAGGAAGTTATTTTGCATACAGGAAGACCACCTACTGATCTAAATTGCACTTAATATTCCTAACTGTCAAACATCAGCGTAATTTAAATTCCTATACAGTATATTATTATAAAGTTTGTTCTTATATGGCGGTTAGAGCCGAATCATAACAACTGTGAATCTGCCTAATATAATATATATATTTGCCTAAGCTAATAAATATTCGATAAAGATTTCGGAATCTATGTATATCCGGATAATATAAAATAGTTTGCAAAATAGTATTGAGATCCGTACTGTTCCTAATAGATTCCCCTTGCTGACTTCCTAGCAGTCTATTGTATTTTGTAATGTATTTGAGTAGTATGTTTAATACAACAATTTGAGATGAATTAATAACCGAACAGCCAGCTCTTACGTTGTTGCTTGTATGATCTTGGCAGTAAAGCCCATTAATCGAAATACTGGTGTTTAGAAAAGCTCCGCGACCATTTACAAGTTCAAAACCCATTTACACTGTAGAATATTCAAAGACGGGTGTTGCTTATTATTTAAATTGTTTGTAATAATTTTGCCAATGACTTTGAAGTATAGGAGTGATTCAAAAGCGATTTCAAAACCCAATCCATGTGGAAAAATACTACCGTACATGCCATTAACAAACACACTTTCCTTTTCGATAACATGTCATATATAAGTAAGTTTTTGTGAAATAATTTTGAAAAAACAGAAACCCAGCGGCGCGGTATATTCACGTGAAAAGCTTATCTTATGTTTATATGGATAAAGACACGATATATTTTACATATTGGTAATGTTTAACTGCATAATTAAAACGGTTTAGCTGCGGTCTACTCGAAATAAACAATACCTTGAATAATGTGGCAAGAACCTTATGAAGAGGAAAACATCTATGAAGGCGAAGTTCGATACGAAAACAACCAAGGTAAATAATTAAGTTGTTGGAATTGTCGTTGGTAAAATGAAAAATTAATATATTTAGGCCTCAAAAAATGAAATACAGGTTCTATATCCCTTTTTTTTCATAAGACTATGTGTGCGCAATATATCATGTCTGACTGACTCTGACTCAGGTGACGCGTGCGAACAATGTTTTTATATTATTAAACTTTATATATCTAATCTTCAATGTCGCATATACTGGTTTGTTTTTCGGCCAAGTTACTATAGGAAATGTGCCAAGACCGCCAATCAAGAGTCCGTCACTGCCGAAAAAAGATGGCCATCAAAATATACCTGCTTCATTGAATCGAGACGATCAGCGTGAGGCAAATATTTCAAAATTAGCTATTGTTGATGTCATCCTATCCGTCATTATTATCCTACTGTTGGTTGGACTGTTCATACAAATTGGCCAACATCAGGGCAAGGTAATTTTATGTTTGTTTCTGATTGAGAGTTATTCTGTATCAAGTTGTTATCATTATGGAACATGATGATGGAACTGCCAAGAAAAAACTGAATCTAAACGACCCGGTAATATTATAAAGGATCTAGATTTACTTGTTCTAAATATTTAGACTACAACAGACGAAGGTAGTAATTCAAATCAGCGAAGTCAAACAAATCTATCCAAATCTCCTGGTTTTCCAACTGCAACGTACCGAAGCGGAAATTCAGATCAGCATAGTCAAACAAATATATCCACATCCACTGCTTTTCCAACTGCAACAAGCGGAAATTCAGATCAGCCTGTTAAAACAAATAGTTCCACGTCCAACTGTATTCCAACTACAACAAACCAAAGTGCGGATTCGGATCAACATAGTCAAAAAAATTCATCTACACCCAACGGTTTCAGTGTTTCTTTCCTGGAGGAAACGCTGAATCAACTTGTAGCCGACAGAAAAAGCGGTCCGGTGAAATCCTGCCGCGAATTGAAGATGTTGGGTTTCAACGCTGACGATGTTTATTACATACAAACTATTAAAGATTATCCTAAAACTGAGGTAAACCTTGATATTACTATAACTTAACCTTACATACAATGCCAAACATATAAATAGAATATTGGTTTTGAAGACAATTTAGCGGGTTATGATGAAGATTAATATATGATAATTGTCGAATGATTCCCACGAGATTTTTCAAAATTTACATAATTTTAAAAACCGTGGCGGAAAAACACTAGTTTTGAATATAACAAGATGTCCTTATTTCTATTGACAAAATAAAACATCTTTAAAGGTTTACTGTGACATGACGTCTGATGGCGGTGGGTGGACTTTAGTAGCAAGCGTGCATGAGTCAAATATATCCGTGAAATGTGGATTAGATGATCTGTGGTCAAGATACGATCTGATAAATGAAGTGGCATATCCAGGTAAAAAGATTCGAATAATTCATAGCCTTTAACTGAAGTGTTTGTTACATTCCTTTGCATTCTGTTAAACTTTTTCAAACGTAAAATGAGGAAATGTAATATTCACAAAATTTCGTTTGAAACAGACAACACCAACTGGGAATCTGATTACACGTTTGGAAATCTTTTCAAATGTACATCAAATGACTATAAAAATGATGCATATCACAATATGCAGGTATATTCATCAATTTTTTTATAATATATATTATATTCATACTTTCAATATTACTCTATATAAAGCATCGAAAGAACAATCTAATGTCAACATGAATCCATACATGCGCGTTAAAAATATTTTTCTGTGATTCAGGCTGAGAACATCATGATTTGGCACGTTCCTTCTGAATTATCGTTGACTGCAATGAAGCAAGAAGCCTACCTTCGTTATAGAACAACTAATGGGTTTATGAAAAATTACGGTGGAAATTTGAAGAATCTATATGAAAAGCATTTCCCGTTGAAGTTAAAATTAGGTTAGTATCTTGCTATTTAGGAGTTTCGATAGCAGATATGTGTACTCGTGTATCCAGATATGTGCACTCAAAATAGTTTTGCACAATTGTTTCGAGTGAGACATTTCTTCTAATTCTCATATTCATTACCTAGTAAAATTTAGATTTAAAAGAAGTGTAAATTTTAAAGTTTGTCGAAATATTCACTCAATATACCGTTAAAAGTTATTTCAAACGAATTGTTATGAGTCATGCAATCAAATTCAATTACAGAATAATCGATTCAAGACTTATATTTTTAGAAAGTCCAGCTGAAGATGTTCTCGACGCTTTGGCGAATAATGCTGTAAATATTAGTAGGCAAATACCAGATTGGTACAACTACACATATGGAGACAACCCTTCTCAAATAAAAGATAAAAAAATGTACTGGCTATATGGAAATCAGGTATACATATTCTTGTACATGTCAATTTAGCCTATATATTAATTGGCATCTTCATTCGCAGCCGTGGGATGATGTTCGATAACCCTCGTGGTTTTCTATCTGTTTCACGCACTGCTGTCAAATACTGTATTTGGCCAATCATATGAATAAAGTATCATGAATGGAACGTTTTAAAACGATCGCGATTTTTAACCTCAAAACTGTACTTGATCCACAGGACACGAAAGTAAAAATGACTATAGTGAAAGTGCATAATTTCCGAATAATCGTTCCCCAATTTTTAACGATATATCGAACATTTATTAACCGGAGGACGCCATATTGCTTAGTGGGGAATTTATTTAGCTTTACCATTCCTGTTACAAATTTTCATTCAGAGTTAGCTGCTTTGCAGTTTGCAGATAATATTAGACGAAATTGATTGTGTGGCCTATTCTATATTGTCAGTGTATTCGTGTTTCCCACAACTGACTAATGCGGCTCGCGAATACGATTTCCGCGTTCACATTTGGCCGGTAAGAGCCTAGCTGAACTCTGGTGTAACAGAACGAAACGTGGAGAAAGAAAATATTGTGGTGAAATATAGAGACTTATAGGACTTGGAGAACATTAGGAATAACAGTTCTCTAGCGACCTGATGTAGGCTACTGAAAATATATTAGTGATAACAATTGGTCCAGTAGCTTTAGAGCAGCGTTTCCTAATCCACGTACCATTTCAGGTCACATAGGCTACAGTTCTCGCGTACCACCCACAATCCCACATGTTACGCGTACCGAAGGCGGTCCAAAGGCACCGTCTTTATGACGTCATAACCACGTAAATGATCGGTGCTAGGTGTCATAATAAATTCTATTAAGCATGGGCTAGGGCCAGCATCAGCCAAGGTTGATGGGATTGTTAGAACGAGCAAGAACGACGATTTTGCAAAACGGTTGTGAGCCCCCTTTTTGTTCTATAGTCGGTCTTACTGTGTATTAGATTTTCCATGTGCCCGATATATGCAGGTGATTGAGATTATCAAATTAGTCTGAATATAATGTCTGCAAGTTATATCTCACACTCTTCGGAATAATATTGCGAAGAAATTTTGTTGCACACTAGGTAGTTATGCTGATGCTTCCTACCAGTATTCGACAAAAGCAATACCATTACCATTACCAATTTTTTGGGGGCGGAGAACAATGCCACAAAAACGCGATATGGAGGTCTTTTATTAGACTGCCATGAAAAGTTTCAACATATTGATTATGTGCAGTAACAACGTATCTTATTGCATGCAAAATCGCGAGAAAATTTGCGTCTACCGTCAGAGCTAAAAGACTTTGATTATTGCCGGCACTGCACTGTCGCAAACACCGGGCGAATGTATTAGGAGGTATGTTTTTGCTCCGACATGCCTACATATTTATTAAAAAACTTACTGATGAATGAGCCATAAAACTTAAGATTATGCCTATCAGCCAACACATATAACAAATAGCAATAGTATCATATGCAGTGGCGGCGCGTGGTCATTTTGACAACCGGGGCAAGAATCTGCGGGACCAAGTCACCCCCATCTACGGGGACAGGATGAGCGCTGTAAGTTCTCCCATCATTTTATGAGTATAAAAAACATTCCATCGGTAACAACCAATCGGCAAAAGCGACAATTTTTAACGATAAGAAAGTGTCTTTAAAACCGGTCCAAGTCAAGGGATTAATAAATATAGACATAGTTCATTTTGAAACCTCTTTCAAAAGGAAAGGCAATATTTATCCAGATAAATACAATGACATATTAACAGAAACTTCGGGAAAGCAGACAAAACCTAAAATAAGGTTTAAAACGTTACAATGAAGAAAGGAAAGTTAATGCAAAGATAAGGACATGCGTCGCTCACTCATATTTATATATGCTGCTAGACTTCTACTGCTTGAACATATATGCAACACGCCGCGGTTTCTTGGAAGCAAAATGCTCAATAACGCGCTGATTAAAGTCATGCATCCCAGAAATAACGTCTCTGTGAATGGATAAAACAGCCAAGGAATTTAATCTATCTTGCTTCATTGTGTTTCTGAGATACGTTTTAATACGCTTCAGCGTGCTGAATGTTCGCTCTGCGTCGGCGGAAGAAATAGGCGTCGTCAAAATGATGTCCAGTAATTTTGCAGACGCCGCAAAGGTAGTTACTAGAGTGTTATCTATGAGGAACCCATACAGCGCGCAAGTTGATGTGATGTTCAAAAAAGTTTGATTGGTGTATATACATCGCAATTCATTTTCCAATTTACCCACGTTTATCATGGGGTAAAATTTGGAGACCGTAGCCAACAAATGGATGGAAAATTGACGTGCAAATTTTGAAAAAATTTTGGGGTTCATCAAAGAGAACGCGGCAAGGTGTTCAGTGCGCAGACGATCGCCTATTTGATTCACCAGAATGTCACAGCATTCCTTTGCAGACAAAATCAAACGCTGCGTTGTTTGCCCGCAGCGTAAAGAAGCACTCCATGTGTCGTCGTATTTTATTGTTTCCCGGATACGAGATACAGCATCGCAGAAGTCTGAAATACACGACTGCACAGACGCTCCATCTATTAGCCTTGACTGCAATGCGCCGTATAATACATCCACGTGAAAGAATATTGTGGAGAAAAAAGCGAGAAAAAATGAAAACTCACCATCTTCTAGCAGGAGGTCAGAGCGCTTCGGCGAAACGGAAAAAAATGAAGAAAACCCCGAAACATTTGCAAAAAATATACGGACGAGAGGGGTATCAAGACACATATTTTTTAATAACGAGGTTAAATTGGTGTGCATAACAATGTAAAAAATGCGCATGAGGAAAATCTTCTTTTATATAAACTTGAACACCATGTTTCGACCCACTCATGACTGCCGCGCCGTCATAAGTTTGAGCTATCAATTTTGACTTCGCGTTGTAAGGCTGTAACACTTCTTTCAGTACAGCCGATATCCCGCAAGCCGTGCGATCAACGATGGGTACAAAGCTGTGAAATCTCTCTGTAGGTTTACCATCTTTCACAAACCGAAAAATCACAGCCAGTTGGGAAACGCACGTGATGTCAGTTGTCTCGTCAGACTGAATCGAAAGGAACTGGCAATTCTCAATTTCCAGAGCCAAATGTTGTAAATAAATTTTATACATTGAGCCGAGCAAATCATTTTGGATATCCTTAGATGTCCCTTTCGAAACAGTTGCGGCATCAAGATGATCTCTCAATACTGTATCTAGGGATGCGGTGTATTCCACCATATCCAAAAATAGCCCTCTATTAGAAGAGCCAGCCCGTTCATCGTGCCCACGGAGGGACAGCTCGTGACAACCAATGAACTTCAAAACATCTATCAATCGACCGAGAACATGGTGGTTTTTCTCGACGTTTTGGTTGTGTCGACGAATAGAAACCGCGCGTCCTTCATCCAACTGTGCTGCAATATTAACATTTCCGAATGTTCGGTATTTTACTGCATTGTCCAGATGCTCCATAGAAGATTGATGATCCCTGGCACGCTCGGAAAGATGTTTAAGAACTCTAAAACCAAATTTACACCAACGTGACTCACGGGCGGTAGCAAAAAGTAGGCAATAAAAACAAAAAAGTGCATTTTTGTCCTCGCTGTAACACAACCATTCGTGTTTTTTATACCAAGTTTCTGCGCAGAATGTACGCCGACGCTTTCCTCCTCCGTCATGGGATTGTTCCAGTGAACAATTTTTTGGTTGATAAGGCCCAAGACGTTGTACCTCTAATTTTGTTCCAGCGGCAGCTGCGAAAACGGAGTGCGAAGTAGTGCATCAACCTTATTCATTATGAGGTCTAAGGCTAAGAAATGCGAAGCCGGAAAGGAATGTGGAAAATCGAAAGCAAATGAACTAAAGGTCTCTAACTGATTCAAATAGCGAAACAAGCGACAAAAACGAAGGCGAGGAAACTATCAACTCTTCAAGCAACCAACGAACGAGAAGGAATGCGTGAATATGTCAACACGTTGTTGTAAGAAACGTCGGCATTGTGTCGTCATAATTTCGGGGCTAGCCCCGATCGGCCCCGATGATTTAGTAAAAGAAACAGAAAACAAACGAGACAAGCGCGGCGAGTGGAAGATAAAAGAGAGAATACGATATACAATGAGCAACCGGGGCAAAATCGGCGTCACCCCGTCGACGTTCGGCGAAGGCTTTGCGAGCGAAAAATGAACCATGTCGGGAGAATATGGCTAGTGTAGACAGTCTGTGCAACCGATATTGAGGTATTTTTCGAATATGTTTTATTATACCGAAAAAACAACCGGGGCATTGCCCCGGTTGGCCCTATTGACGCGCCGCCACTGAATTCATATGTATGATGTACATCGCCGGATTAACCATTAAACAATATAAGCACGTGCTTAGGGCACCATGCAAAGAGGGGCACCACAGACATATTAGAGCAGAATTTTATATAGTTTATCGGTGTTTATTAAAATATTACGACTTCACCAGACGACTCAAACTTCAAAATGTTTGCTTATTTTTCGTCTTCAAGTACCATATTAACCTTTTTTTAATAAAAATAAACACTGAAACTTAATTATAGGACACGAAACGTTTTTGCGGTTCTTCAACCTAGCAACCTTGAACCACTCTGAGGTAGACTACTAGGTACCGGTAAAATTTCAAACTACAGTTGTGACTTGTATCCTTTGGTATTTCGACTCACGTTGAGACTGGGGGCATGAATCTTTATTGTCACACTCCCTAAGGATTAGAGCTCAACCGATATATCGGCCAGATATTGCGTGTTTGCCGATATACCATATCAGCAGTAAACGGCCGATATATAGCCGGTAAAAAAACTAAAAATGTTCGTAAAAGTTGTTTTATTTACTGTTGGTTGTGATTATTTTCAATGGATAATACACTTATGTGGTTTATCCGTTTTTATATTTAAATTACACATGAGAGGGCACCAAATTCTTCAGTGCTTGGGGCTCCAAAAAGGCTTAATCCGCCCCTGATGATGTATCAAGATATCTCACCACGCTTCGACCATTCCGACGAACGCTCCTTTTCTTTCCGTTTTTCTTTGCTTTGTGGACGTAAAAGGTGAAACGGGCGAAAACATCCCGCTTCTTTTAGACGAGCAGTAGCGATATTTAAAGACAAGGAATGGTAACACTCAAAATTTGTCCTGCGAATACATACAGTTTGAAAGATAAAGTGCACGTGACCTGTACACGACAATAATTTGCGCGTCGCTGAATCAAACGCTTGGACAGCACAACGCATTTGCTGATTTCTGACGAAAACACGAACATCTGCACACGCTTTTTGCTAACAGACAAAGACCACAAAATCGGGTGTTATATTTACAGTTTACTGTTCTAATGTCTGGTAACACGTGACTTGAACATTGAACGCTTGGACTGCACAGCGCACTTGCGGATTTCTGACGAACACAATCTGCACACACACTTTTCGCTACCGGACGTTAAAATTGAGTGTTATATTTGCGTTATAATGTTTTTTGTTTTTAGTGGCTATAATTTTGTTTCAATTCCCAAATGAGCATGATGTGCACCAAAGTCACGTGATTTTCAACAACATTTCAGAAGACCGTTTTGTAAATTTCGAAACATTAATACAAGTTCCTAATAAAGCAACAACTCTGCGATTTCGGAACGGATATATTCATTTGAATATGTAGAAATGTAACTTCATTATTGCCAATTTCAGCGTGTACCCTACAACATTCGGTACGATACACTTCTGGTACACCGTATCGATGTGGTACAGCCTGGGGTGTACTATACACCCGGTTGACGAGCACTGCTCTAGTATATCATCATTGGTCCGTTTCTTTTTACAGGTATCCGCTACTGGCTGTGGAACTATTAATTACGGACAAATGAAAAGGTGAAATTAGTGTTATGCTTCTTGCCATATGTCTTCATTTGTACTAAAATCAGCCCATATTATTACATGGTAATATGTATGACGTAATATCTAAACATCACATTTAAAATATTTCAATATTATATCATTTGCAGTTACGAGGACTTATTCTGCGGCTCTAGAATGATAAAGCCTTTCTTGTTTTTAAACGTTATTTCGAACGAAAGGCGGAGGTATGGAACCATTTCCACTCAGGTGAGCCTATTCGGCAACTCACTCATTTTATGGTCTGCGACACTAATGAGTAAAAGCAGTGGAGAGGGATTGGTCAGTGCAATAACAAAATCGATACTCTTATGTCACGTGTTCGACACCTAACTTTTCCATATGAATGCTAGAAGGGTTCCTCCGCCAGCACATTTCAGGGTTTCTCAAATTCAAATTCCTACATTCAAATCTAAGAGTTTATTACTTATCGATCTTAAGATCGGTAAGTATATTAATAGGTATTTGTCTGTATGTCTGTCTGTGTGTCTGTCTGTTAGATGAACGCGATATCTCACGAACGCGTGGTTGAATCTGCTCCAAATTAGTTATTATTTAATTACCGATCTAAGATCGATAAGTCGTCGGTCTCCGACCGATATTCTCGTCATAAATATTCGTATGTTCCTTTTTTTTTAAATATAATCAGACACCTTAGGTTTGCTGCTGTTATTGATCTTGCTACACTTTAAATGTCATTTTGTTTTGTCATATCATGTTTGCCGTTATATATATTTGTAGTCAGTGGTAGGATTGATCGTTATTACTTATCGATTTTAATCGGTAGGTATGTTGATGGGTATTTGTCTGTATGTATGTCTGTCTGTTAGATGCACGCGATATCTCACGAAAGCGAGATTAAATCTTCTCCAGATTTTGCACGTGCATTCATCATATCTCGGACCAGGAGCCTATTGATTTTGGGCAGATTATGTCGTATAATTAGCGAGTTATTGATTAATTAGTGATGGGACACAAGGTGTCACTATGGAGTAAGAGCGCTGCTATGGGGGATCCCCTAACTTTCGATCGATAAGTCTTCGGTCTCTGACCGATATTCTCGTTGGAATATCGTGACAATTGGGAAACCCGTTCTAGACGACGGCAGAAAACTGGCATCGCAGCCTACGACTAGCGTTATATTTGCCGTTTCGAAAGTCAGATATTAGCTTTATGTAAAGCATGCCACGTGTTAATGTGACATACAAACATTTTCTCAAATGAGTGAGAATGAGGTGTTTTTGTGAGTTCGATACAAAAGAGGAACCTTTCTCAAAATTTTGAATCCCAACACTGTTTAAGATGGTAATAAAATCAGACAATATAAGACAATTAAATCATTGCACGGGGGGTCTCTCAAGCTTCTGGATTGTTTCATTTGAGTTTCTTTTTACCAAAAAAGTTGAAAACCACTGCAAACGACCTTGGTCATTTTAAACCGATTTTTATAATATTTATATCTCAAACAACAAACTTCCGACCCGAAAACGTGGTTCGGTGAGAGGTCAAAGACAATCACAATTTCGAAGGTCAGCCCATAGCCTAAAAGCAATTTTATAGTCGGCGCAGAACGGATGCACGCAGCAGAGACGTGTGGCCTTTTTGACCAGCTGCGCGAATAAAGGGGAGAGACGAATGCTTTGTGAGTTGGAGTCGAAAAACGCTCGGCCACAGCTTCATCTCAGGAAAAAAGGCTCACCTGTTTGAAACATGCAAATAGGGCTTATATCAATATATGTTTGTGAATAACTGCCGATGGGCGATGTCGGCGAATTTGTAATATCGGACCGTTGTATCGGTAGAGCTCTAACTAAAACTTTGTTTGTTTTATTTCAGGTGCAATCTTATCGTCCGAATAGTAATGAAGCATTCACTTCTCTCAGCAATAACATTACAAAGGGAGATTACAAACTTCAATATCATTCTTTCCAATTTTCTTCGCCCGGTATTCCAACAGCATGCGAATTTCACTTCGTTGTATCAAATATTGTGAGTTGATTTTTGAGAATACGCCTCTTGCATGTTTTTCACATATGATATAAGTTGTCTTCTACTAATTTAATAACTTCACTGTTACGTTATCAGAATGATCGCAAACGAATACCTGATTTTCAATAAACGTACTTTTCACATTATCAGAATTGGGGATCGGTCGAGCCATCAAAACTTGAACAAACATATCATCGCTATTCATCAACTTATAGGAATAACAGATTTCAGATAGACGGATACCCTTCAAATATTGTTATGGGATACATTCTTTTATCAAGGTCGCTAAATCTGAGTAAAGCAATTGATAATGATTAGAAATAATTAAGGTCATATAAACACTATTTATTCAATTTTTTCTTGTGCACCAATTCCGGAGTCGGATACTTATTAATTGCTATTTGTTCATTCTTTTACCATTTTCAATATTGAAATCCAATTCTTGACCTGGTATGTCTTGTGCTTAAATTTGTTTTTAACAATATTATAAATGACCAGGTTTCATCGAATTGTTATGTTATTTGATACTGAATGATTTTCATCAATGAAAAGCATGTAGTTACTACATTTGTGCTGGACGTTGATAAATTAACGTATTTATTGCAGGGAGAACGGGAAAAACATATCGTTAGAGCATACGGATCAAGTTGCTATTATTATCCTGGAATCAATAATGACAGTACCGAAACTATTCAACGTTATATAGTACTTCACAAATACTGTACATCTTACTCCTTTCATAGTTTAGAAATCCCGCCCAATATACAAAGTAGTCATCATTAAATAAGTTGAAAACTTCAACGCAATTTTTTTGTCGTTTTTTTAGTCTTTCGAAGCATTGAACTATAGATATTTTTGCAAGTTTTTTAAACGTGATCTTCACGAAGTAATTTTCATTGGTGGTTAAATTTATTATTTGTGAAATTGTAAATTTTGTTGCACGATAGGATTCTGACAATTAATTCAATTTTTTTCTTGCAGGCGACAAAGCAACAAAGGTTATTAATGTCCTATACGCAAAAGCATCAAGCATTAGAGCAGTAGTACCAAATTGGTATAGCTATTCTTACAGATCAAATAATCGGATATACGATAATAACCTGTATGACGGGTACGGAAATCGGGTGTGTTCTTCGGTGACCGTACATTTGAACCCACGTACATTTGAACTCATGTACATTTGAACCAGTTTGTATATTCGCGGGTTCAATCCATATGCGGGTGCTAAAACCCATTGGTTAGGGTTAAAATGGGTTCAAATATCCGTAAAACAAAAAAAATTCCATAGGTGCAATAGTATGCAGGTACAATTGCCGTGGGTTCAAATGTACGCGGGTTTAAATGTACGTGGGTTCAAATGTAATGGAACCGAGTTCTTCCAATTAAATAAATTTTACATCGTCTGATTGACATTTCCTTTAAAAAATGAGATATGAAGTTTAAATTGAAAAATGACGTTATTAGTTTTCAAAAATAACGGTAAATGATTGTTTGCCAAGAAAACGGTTGATTTTAAGCTTGAGAACCAATCAATCATGATATAGACTTGGCAAAGTTGCATAAAACTGGCCACTGGCTTTGTATATATAATTTTAGGCAAGAAGTTTCATTGCGAATCAAGCACTATTGGTATTCTGGTTCTATTCATTTTAGGTATACATCAGAAGTTCACTTCAAAGTTTTAGTATGAATTACGGGCAAACTGTACGGTAAGAATTTTTTACAATTTCATGACATATATCTGTTACAATTATCTAACACTAGAACCACCTCAAGTAAAGGCGTTGCTTGTCAAGACGCTTGTTCGCTATAAGACTCTTATAATAAAAAACGATAGCAATGAGCATCAGTACAAAAACGTTTCACGCTGTTAAATCTAAAATTGCAACAAACTTTTCAAAGAGTATAATGCGTAAAATGACAGGAGAAGGCGTTATACGAATTTCCTATTTGTTTATGATTAATGCAGAATGGATGGAGACAGATCCTTAATAAAATCTAAAACTTCTCAACCGTTTATCATGATCAATGTTATCTCAAACGAAGACAGTGATCAAATATTACTACACGCAAGTGAGTGAATTTCTTTTCTTGAGACTGAGAGTTGCATTCTGTTCCGTGCCAATGCAAAGAAAAAACCCAACATTCCTGTCTGATGGGTCAAATGTGCCCTGAGTCCTGAAGTATTTAGTCATGAAAATATTTTCCATTTTCCACTGTTGAAATTAGCTGGTATTGGTAGACAAAAGAAAATTTTATGAGAAAATCATTCTTAGTATTCAGGATCACAGTATCAATTACAAGAAAATATTTTACAGATCGATTCACGAAGAAACAACAATGGAGATCAAATCAGCCAATTGCAGAATAACATTACGAAAGGAAATTACAAACTGCAGTACCACGTGATCCAATTCTCTTACAAAAACCAACCAACTCCGGTTGAATTTCATTTCACCGTGTCTAACGTTGCAGTAAGTATATGTTAAAGCATTTATGTGTAATTTATATACATCAAAAATATATAAATTTTAAACCTCAATAAAATACCATTACTTTATTCCAGTATATGAAATCTGTACTTATTTATCTCCAGAGCTAACAAAGTCAACTGTCACCAAATTGCTTGCATGTACGAACCCCAAAATGTGCTATATTAAAAACCATTGACGTAAAATATAGCTGATGACTTTGATGTTATATGTTTAAAAGTGGCGTTCTGTCAAACCATCCTTGTTAAAACACACGTACTCTCGTGATAGTGGTAAATACAGATACAACAGGGTTCAAATCGACGACAGCCCCTCTAACATAATTATGGGGTACCTGCTTCTTACCAGGTAAAGATTCCTGTATCATTGATATAAAATGTAAATTGAAGTTATAAATAGTTGAAATGTCATTGCTTGTTTTCAACAACAGACAAAATGGAAGCAATGTAACAACAACTCAAACTGACGCTATTGCAAGCATCGTATTGGATGCAATCATGTCCGTGGATGATCTTTTCAACGGTATTATTTATTGTTTCTATGCAACCTTAATGACTTAACGTCGTTTGCTTACTGTATTTTATGATTATTCTTCTGATACTATATTTTGATATTCAGAGTATCCGGAAAATTCCCTCCTGGTGCCAATCACTATTGACAAAGGGAGCAATGATCAAATTATGGAGATGATACCACCCCATTACAGACCTCATGTCGATCCGGGATATCTACAGTTTCGGGCCTACAATTTGACAGGATATCCGAATGCTTTGTGCCCAGGTGTAAAGTAAGTGTTACCAATAGGCTTGCACGTAATTTACGGAATTTATTTTCAGTTGCGTCGGCAAATTTGGAATAACGTAAAGTCGTAATTATTGACTAACGCTCTCAGTTCTAATAAAACATCTCGCGAAGCGTTTACCCCGTCTATTTCGTGCTACACAACTCTTCCTATACCTCGCGAACAAACGTTGAAGTCGAAATGAGAATTTTCAAATATGGAGATTTATGCGCCTTTGTGAAACGCCAGATGTTTGTAGTACTACGCCGAGGTTGAAACATTTTTAAAATTTTTGAAAGAATGAATCGTCGTTCGATTGCATTTTGTTAGAATCGCGGATTATTTTCGTCAGTGTGACGTGTTGTTTAGACTGTAAATATTTTTATTTCGGCTTTTATTCTTCCTAAATCACAAATTTCCGACGACATACCGGTATGTCTTATGCCACGAGGACGTTGACTGACTTCAGTTAGAAAAATGAGTTATTATATAATCATCGGTGATGAGGTGCTAAACATAAATAAAGCAGTTAGTTCATCCGCAACCCGAATTTGCTAGATTGAAAAGCGGCCAATAAAAATGCAGAAATAAAACGGAAAACATGTTCACAGATTGCCGTGTTATTTTAGAGCAGTAAAGCTTTTAATTTGTGGCAAGTCGACGCAACCACGAGTTACGTTGAGCGCAATTTAATTAATATAGACATTTTAAATTCCCGCAGTTGTTGTAGATTGAATATTTCACGCGATAGAAATATCATTAATCGCTGGAAATGTGGGCTCTTTTGACGAACGCGTAATTGCGGCGACCGTTTCAGAAGCCGTTACATGGGAATTTCCGATTTTAAATTCGTAGTCGGTTTGCCGAAAAGTATGAAAAACAAGAGGATTTTTATTCGAAATTGAAATACAATGCTCATTTTTATCGGTTTTTGCAATAAATAGTTGCTAATTTTCATGCAATTGTTGCTATTTGCTTGGCAATTTGTCGGTATCTTTTTTTGTTTCTGATTGGCATTTCATTTGGTTCGCAACGTACCTGCTCATTCAAGTAATTTTAAAGGAACCGCAATGCTTGCAACGCGTGTCATCTTGATTCCATACTTTTAGGAATGGAGAACTCGGCACGTGACAATGTAAGTTAAATTATCACAATTACGGGGTCATTAGTAAGCGATTTTGCCGTAATTACAAAGTTGATTTTGTGTCGATTACGTGCAAGCCTAGTTACCAAGTTAAATCTTCGTGTATTGTGGTTCTTTCGACACCGTAAAATAGAATCCGTGTATATGTAAATTACATTTGAAGATTGGTAAAAGCAAAAACACCAAATCTATGAAAATTCAAAATACGAATAAAATCGTGAAAACAAGAAATTTATGAACATTTTTCGATGCCTTACCCACATTTTTATTGAAATTCGTTCCGTGTTTCACTCAATTGAATGCTACTAATGATGGTGATTCTGGTTGTAGTAAATCTGAAAACTCATTGGTTTTTGTGTTTTCATCTCACGTTTTTCACCGTTCATATTACTCAAGCGAAAATCCAGCTTTATCAATAACAGAAGTGGCGTTTAGCTGCATCAATAAATTAATACAGACACAATTTTTCAGAGTTAAATCAATTTCACCTTATTTCTCATGCATCGGAGGTCTATCGAACGACGCAACAAAATATGGAACATGTGGTGACTTTGCAGGTACGTTATGAATGTGTATAAGGTATTTATATCGTTAGCATATAGGTAAGGTGCAGTCATTTATTTAATTTACTCTACACTAAGCTACGAAAGCTTTTGCGGTATTGATATAAATATAATAACCACTTTTCCTTTTATTAACTTCAGGATGGGGAGGAAAATTAGATGACATTATTGCCCAGTCATCCGCAAACGGATCTGCTCATTCACAGAATGATATTTCGTCTTCCATCCTCATATTTTATCGCTAGCGTATTGGCATGTATCTGAAATTCACAGTAATTTCGTGCATATTTGTGTTATAATGTTGCTACCTTTCTTTTTTTATGTATCCAACGTACTTGACATAACGCAAAAAGCACATAAGTTTATTATCTCATACAGTTGTTTGCTTTTCCACACATACGGTAAATTCAGCATTCTTATACAATTTCCTTCAATTGGTTGAAAAAGTACGCTTCAAAAGTTTGCCCTATCCTTATTGATACCCCCACACAACGTGCGGAAACACTGAACCTAAGAAGAAAATCAGTCCAAGTTCCTAATAAATCGATCTACTCAAAGTCGATGGCAATGACTCCTTCATTTTAGCTTTTTCTTTCTTAATATACCAGGTCTATTAAATGTAAATTAAGGAGTGAAATCCATCATTGAACTAACATGCATATTCATCTTATTTTAACGCAAACCGCTCTAATATTCTCAGAAAGTCCATAGCATTCACCACCAAGACCATATAAAAAATTTATTTTGTATTTAATTCTATAAATTGTTTATTTGCGTCTTACATGTACATATATTATACATATTATGCAGAAATATAGGTATATATATAGGTATGACGAGTTTACTTCGAATTGGGCGTTAGGTATATACTTCGGGATAACGCGATTCCACGGACTGCGTTACCGGTAGTCTACTGAGGCAGATTGTATACCCGCACTACTTTGTTTTGGCCATCGTGTCCATATATTTGAGCATCGCTCTGTTGTAACTTAATAATTACTCACGCATAGTGACTGAATAGAATTTGATAAAGTTGACTCACGAAGAAGGGATCAGGCGACTTTACCCTGCATCAAAAATTCATTAGTTATCTAAGGCAGCGGTTCCCAAACTTTTTGTTTGTGTAGCGCCAAATATCAGAAAAAAAAACCTCACGGCGTGCTTACACAAAAAAAAAAACTAATTTTTGTGATCGTAATGTGTACTTTATATCCTTTAAAGTTTGTAAACATTTAGGCCTAAGGAAAAAAAGACAAAAAGGTCAACTCTTCTTCCTCATCTCTGCATGATTTTTCTTTGAAATGCTAAAATAATCACTTATGTTCGCTAAACTCGGTTCAGCATGTGAATAAACTGCAGCTCACGAAATTGCAGCAAGTAGTGTTTATCTCTATTGTTACGTAACAATAGAGGCAGACCCTGCGTAACAGACAATACATAACGATATAGGAAGGTAAAATGAATTTATTGATTCGTATAATTATGAATTTGTAGACTTTATTAACTTTGTTGGGTTGCGTAGTTATAGAAAGATTGTGCTTTTGCTATTGCTTATTGTGCTGTATATAAAAAAACATTGCTTTTGCCTTTTAATGACATTTTTTTCATTGTATACGGGGTATCGGTACCGCAGCGTTTTTAACAAACCTTCTTAACCACAAGAGAAAAAAACCAAAGTTTGCATACCATACGTTTTTATGTCTTCAGTTTGAATAAACTACTGCCTGATCCGAATTGTTCCATTATTTTGTACCCATAAACTGCACCCGTAGACAATTGCTCAAATAGACATTTGAAACCACAGACTTTTGCACCGAGTTTGCAGCCGCCGACATATGCCCTCTCGCCCATTTGCACAAACATAAAATACCACAAAAACTGCCTTGCGCATTTTCTAAAAGTTCTCAAATTAAGAGCGAGATTTTGAAACAACTTTTTATACGAATTTGTTTGCGTATTTCAACATCTGGACCAGCGGCTGTTAGAGATTAAAGTCAAGTATGATACGCGTGCAGATTCTCGTGCGACATTTCGCATTTGAAATTTGAAGAAAATTTAAAGTTTAGAAGTTCGAAATGTTTGTTTGCTTTCAAATCAAAATTTAATCTTACTCGCTACAAAAACGGATCTGGGTTTCATATTTAAAGTGATACAATTAAAAGATATTTTATTTTCGTTATAAATCGAAATACAGTGATTGCATAATGTTTGTAACAAATATTTGCATATCCGTTAGTAAATTCTTCGATCCATAAAGGTAGTACCTTTTACGGGTAAGCGGAGTGACACTCGTGAAAATTGGCAATGGATTGGATAGACTGTCGAAACACCAATTTAACAATAGGAGACACAATATCTTCATACTTGGCCATTGTACATCAACGTCAATTTTTCTATCTCGAAACAGCTATATTGTCGTAATTTTTGATACATGGAACAAAATAAATAATAAATACAAGTATACATGAAATAAAAAGAGTGAAACACATTTAAAGGGTATAAAAGTATAAAGACTAAGTTTAGTTCGGAAGTAATCAAGTTTCTATTATAGGACTAATGTCCCTTGGGAAATACAAAAGTCTGCTGTCCCATCCCATGTGTTTTCCTATGGAATTTTCATATGAATCTCATTCCTACGGACAAGGCTGGAAATGGCATACGGAAGTGACATCCAAATTTCATTACTTATCATATTTTTGTATGGTGTGTAGGCTAAAAGTTATGGCACAAGTGATTATTATTTTTCACACCGTTGTTTTGCCAAGGAAGTTATTTTGCATACAGGAAGACCACCTACTGATCTAAATTGCACTTAATATTCCTAACTGTCAAAACATCAGCGTAATTTAAATTCCTATACAGTATATTGTTATAAAGTTTGTTCTTATATGGCGGTTAGAGCCGAATCATAACAACTGTGAATCTGCCTAATATAATATGTATATTTGCCTAAGCTAATAAATATTCGATAAAAATTTTGGAATCTATGTATATCCGGATAATATAGAATAGTTTGCAAAATAGTATTAAGATTCGTACTGTTCCTAATAGATTCCCCTAACTGACTTCCTAGCAGTCTATTGCATTTTGTAAATGTATTTGAGTAGTATGTTTAATACAACAATTTGAGATGAATTAAGTAAGCGAACAGCCAGCTCTTACGTTTTTGCTTGTATGATCTTGGCAGTAAAGCCCATTAATCGAAATACTGGTGTTTAGAAAAGCTCCGCGACCATTTACAAGTTCAAAACCCATTTACACTGTAGAATATTCAAAGACGGGTGTTGCTTATTATTTATAAATGTTTGTTATAATTTTGCCAATGACTTTGAAGTATAGGAGTGATTCAAAAGCGATTTCGAAACCCAATCCAAGGGGAAAAATACTACCGTACATGCCATTAACAAACACACTTTCCTTTTCGATAACATGTTATATATAAGTCAGTTTTTGTGAAGTAATTTTGGAAAACAGAAACCCTGCGGCGCGGTATATTCACGTGAAAAGCTTATCTTATGTTTATATGAATAAAGACACGATATATTTTACAAAGTGGTAATGTTTAACTGCATAATTAAAACGGTTTAGCTGCGGTCTACTCGAAATAAACAATACCTTGAATAATGTGGCAAGAACCTTATGAAGAGGAAAACATCTATGAAGGCGAAGTTCGATACGAAAACAACCAAGGTAAATAATTAAGTTGTTGGAATTGTCGTTGGTAAAATGAAAAATTAATATATTTAGGCCTCAAAAATGAAATACAGGTTCTATATCCCTTTTTTCATACGACTATGTGTGCAATATATCATGTCTGACTGACTCTGACTCTGGTGACGCGTGCGAAAAATGTTTTTATATTATTAAACTTTATATATCCAAACTTCATTGTCGCATATACTGGTTTGTTTTTTTGCCAAGTTACTATAGGAAATGTGCCAAGACCGCCAATCAAGAGTCCGTCACTGCCGAAAAAAGATGGCCATCAAAATATACCTGCTTCATTTAATCGAGACGATCAGCGTGAGGCAAATATTTCAAAATTAGCTATTGTTGATGTCATCCTATCCGTCGTTATTATCCTACTGTTGGTTGGACTGTTCATACAAATTGGTCAACATCAGGGCAAGGTAATTTTATGTTTGTTTCTGATTGAGAGTTATTCTGTATCAAGTTGTTATCAATATGGAACATGATGATGGAAATGCAAAGAAAAAACTGTTATCTAATTCTAAACGACCCGGTAATATTATAAAGGATCTAGATTTACTTGTTCTAAATATTTAGACTACAACAGACGAAGGTAGTAATTCAAATCAGCGAAGTCAAACAAATCAATCCAAATCCCCCGGTTTTCCAACTGCAACAAACCGAAGCGGAAATTCAGATCAGCATATTCAAACAAATATATCCACATCCACTGCTTTTCCAACTGCAACAAGCGGAAATTCAGATCAGCCTGTTAAAACAAATAGTTCCACGTCCAACTGTATTCCAACTACAACAAACCAAAGTGCGGATTCGGATCAACATAGTCAAAAAAATTCATCTACACCCAACGGTTTCAGTGTTTCTTTCCTGGAGGAAACGCTGAATCAACTTGTAGCCGACAGAAAAAGCGGTCCGGTGAAATCCTGCCGCGAATTGAAGATGTTGGGTTTCAACGCTGACGGTGTTTATTACATACAAACTATGAAAGATTATCCTAAAACTGAGGTGAACCTTGATATTACTATAACTTAACCTTACATACAATGCCAAACATATAAATAGAATATTGGTTTTGAAGACAATTTAGCGGGTTATGATGAAGATTAATATATGATAATTGTCGAATGATTCCCACGAGATTTTTCAAAATTTACATAATTTTAAAAACCGTGGCGGAAAAACACTAGTTTTGAATATAACAGGATGTCCTTATTTCTATTGACAAAATAAAACATCTTTAAAGGTTTACTGTGACATGACGTCTGATGGCGGTGGGTGGACTTTAGTAGCAAGCGCGCATGAGTCAAATATATCCGTGAAATGTGGATTAGATGATCTGTGGTCAAGATACGATCTGATAAATGAAGTGGCATATCCAGGTAAAAAGATTCGAATAATTCATAGCCTTTAACTGAAGTGTTTGTTACATTCCTTTGCATTCTGTTAAACTTTTTCAAACGTAAAATGAGGAAATGTAATATTCACAAAATTTCGTTTGAAACAGACAACACCAACTGGGAATCTGATTACACCTTTGGAAATCTTTTCAAATGTACATCAAATGACTATAAAAATGATGCATATCACAATATGCAGGTATATTCATCAATTTTTTTATAATATATACTATATTCATACTTTCAATATTACTCTTTATAAAGCATCGAAAGAGCAATCTAATGTCAACATGAAACCATACATGCGCGTTAAAAATATTTTTCTGTGATTCAGGCTGAGAACATCATGATTTGGCACGTTCCTTCTGAATTATCGTTGACTGCAATGAAGCAAGAAGCCTACCTTCGTTATAGAACAACTAATGGGTTTATGAAAAATTACGGTGGAAATTTGAAGAATCTATATGAAAAGCATTTCCCGTTGAAGTTAAAATTAGGTTAGTATCTTGCTATTTAGGAGTTTCGATGGCAGATATGTGTACTCGTGTATCCAGATATGTGCACTCAAAATAGTTTTGCACAATTGTTTCGAGTGAGACATTTCTTCTAATTCTCATATTCATTACCTAGTAAAATTTAGATTTAAAAGAAGTGTAAATTTTAAAGTTTGGCGAAATATTCACTCAATATACCGTTGAAAGTTATTTCAAACGAATTGTTATGAGTCATGCAATCAAATTCAATTACAGAATAATCGATTCAAGACTTATATTTTTTAGAAAGTCCAGCTGAAGATGTTCTCGACGCTTTGGCGAAAAATGCTGTAAATATTAGTAGGCAAATACCAGATTGGTACAACTACACATATGGAGACAATCCTACTCAAATAAAAGATAAAAAATGTACTGGCTATATGGAAATCAGGTATACATATTCTTGTACATGTCAATTTAGCCTATATATTAATTGGCATCTTCATTCGCAGCCGTGGGATGTTGTTCGATAACCCTCGTGGTTTTCTATCTGTTTCACGCACTGCTGTCAAATACTGTATTTGGCCAATCATATGAATAAAGTATCATGAATGGAACGTTTTAAACGATCGCGATTTTTAACCTTAAAACTGTACTTGATCCACAGGACACGAAAGTAAAAATGACTATAGTCAAAGTGCATAATTTCCGAATAATCGTTCCCCAATTTTTAACGATATATTGAACATTTATTAACCGGAGGACGCCATATTGCTTAGTGGGGAATTTATTTAGCTTTACCATTCCTGTTACAAATTTTCATTCAGAGTTAGCTGCTTTGCAGTTTGCAGATAATATTAGACGAAATTGATTGTGTGGCCTATTCTATATTGTCAGTGTATTCGTGTTTCCCACAACTGACTAATGCGGCTCGCGAATACGATTTCCGCGTTCACATTTGGCCGGTAAGAGCCTAGCTGAACTCTGGTGTAACAGAACGAAACGTGGAGAAAGAAAATATTGTGATGAAATATAGAGACTTATAGGACTTGGAGAACATTAGAAATAACAGTTCTCTAGCGACCTGATGTAGGCTACTGAAAATATTTTAGTGATAACAATTGGTCCAGTAGCTTTAGAGCAGCGTTTCCTAATCCACGTACCATTTCAGGTAACATAGGCTACAGTTCTCGCGTTCCACCCACAATCCCACATGTTACGCGTACCGAAGGCGGTCCAAAGGCTCCGTCTTTATGACGTCATAACCACGTAAATGATCGGTGCTAGGTGTCATAATAAATTCTATTAAGCATGGGCTAGGGCCAGCATCAGCCAAGGTTGATGGGATTGTTAGAACGAGCAAGAACGACGATTTTGCAAAACGGTTGTGAGCCCCCTTTTTGTTCTATAGTCGGTCTTACTGTGTATTAGATTTTCCATGTGCCCGATATATGCAGGTGATTGAGATTATCAAATTAGTCTGAATATAATGTCTGCAAGTTATATCTCACACTCTTCGGAATAATAATGCGAAGAAATTTTGTGGCACACTAGGTAGTTATGCTGATGCTTCCTACCAGTATTCGACAAAAGCAATACCATTACCATTACCAATTTATTGGGGGCGGAGAACAATGCCACAAAAACGCGATATGGAGGTCTTTTATTAGACTGCCATGGAAAGTTCTAACATATTGATTATGTGCAGTAACAACGTATCTTATTGCATGCAAAATCGCGAGAAAATTTGCCTCTACCGTCAGAGCTAAAAGACTTTGATTATTGCCGCCACTGCACTGTCGCAAACACCGGGCGAATGTATTAGGAGGTATGTTTTTGCTCCGACATGCCTACATATTTATTAAAAAACTTACTGATGAATGAGCCATAAAACTTAAGATTATGCCTATCAGCCAACACATATAACAAATAGCAATAGTATCATATGCAGTGGCGGCGCGTGGTCATTTTGACAACCGGGGCAAGAATCTGCGGGACCAAGTCACCCCCATCTACGGGGACAGGATGAGCGCTGTAAGTTCTCCCATCATTTTATGAGTATAAAAAACATTCCATCGTTAACAACCAATCGGCAAAAGCGACAATTTTTAACGATAAGAAAGTGTCTTTAAAACCGGTCCAAGTCAAGGGATTAATAATTATAGACATAGTTTATTTTGAAACCTCTTTCAAAAGGAAAGACAATATTTACCCAGATAAATACAATGACATATTAACAGAAACTTCGGGAAAGCAGACAAAACCTAAAATAAGGTTTGAAACGTTACTATGAAGAAAGGAAAGTTAATGCAAAGATAAGGACATGCGTCGCTCACTCATAGATATATATGCTGCTAGACTTCTACTGCTTGAACATATATGCAACACGCCGCGGTTTCTTGGAAGCAAAATGCTCAATAACGCGCTGATTAAAGTCATGCATCCCAGAAATAACGTCTTTGTGAATGGATAAAAAAGCCAAGGAATTTAATCTATCTTGCTTCATTGTGTTTCTGAGATACGTTTTAATACGCTTCAGCGTGCTGAATGTTCGCTCTGCGTCGGCGGAAGAAATAGGCGTCGTCAAAATGATGTCCAGTAATTTTGCAGACGCCGCAAAGGTAGTTACTAGAGTGTTATCTATGAGGAACCCATACAGCGCGCAAGTTGATGTGATGTTCAAAAAAGTTTGATTGGTTTATATAAATCGCAATTCATTTTCCAATTTACCCACGTTTATCATGGGGTAAACAAATGGATGGGAAATTGACGTGCAAATTTTGAAAAATTTTTGGGGTTCATCAAAGAGAACGCGGCAAGGTGTTCAGTGCGCAGACGATCGCCTATTTGTTTCACCAGAATGTCACAGCATTCCTTTGCAGACAAAATCAAACGCTGCGTTGTTTGCCCGCAGCGTAAAGAAGCACTCCATGTGTCGTCGTATTTTATTGTTTCCCGGACACGAGATACAGCATCGCAGAAGTCTGAAATACACGACTGCACAGACGCTCCATCTATTAGCCTTGACTGCAATGCGCCGTATAATACATCCACGTGAAAGAATATTGTGGAGAAAAAAGCGAGAAAAAATGAAAACTCACCATCTTCTATAGCAGACGCTTTAGACCTGCCGCCTCCCTCACAGAGCGTTCGTCCCAAACCGGAGAGCTCTGAATGCCATTGAAACACTCAATGAGCTCAGACCTAATTTCGGACACGCCCTGCACCACGCGTGATTGGAAGTTCCAACGTGTTGGTGCACGAGCTGGGAGACGGCGGCTACATATCTGGCGAAGGAGGTCAGAGCGCTTCGGCGAAACGGAAAAAAATGAATAAAACCCCGAAACATTTGCAAAAAATATACGGACGAGAGGGGTATCAAGACACATATTTTTAATAACGAGGTTAAATTGGTGTGCATAACAATGTAAAAAATGCGCATGAGGAAAATCTTCTTTTATATAAACTTGAACACCATGTTTCGACCCACTCATGACTGCCGCGCCGTCATAAGTTTGAGCTATCAATTTTGACTTCGCGTTGTAAGGCTGTAACACTTCTTTCAGTACAGCCGATATCCCGCAAGCCGTGCGATCAACGATTGGTACAAAGCTGTGAAATCTCTCTGTAGGTTTACCATCTTTCACAAACCGAAAAATCACAGCCAGTTGGGAAACGCACGTGATGTCAGTTGTCTCGTCAGACTGAATCGAAAGGAACTGGCAATTCTCAATTTCCAGAGCCAAATGTTGTAAATAAATTTTATACATTGAGTCGAGCAAATCATTTTGGATATCCTTAGATGTCCCTTTCGAAACAGTTGCGGCATCAAGATGATCTCTCAATACTGTATCTAGGGATGCGGTGTATTCCACCATATCCAAAAATACCCCTCTATTAGAAGAGCCAGCCCGTTCATCGTGCCCACGGAGGGACAGCTCGTGACAACCAATGAACTTCAAAACATCAATCAATCGACCGAGAACATGGCGGTTTTTCTCGACGTTGTGGTTGTGTCGACGAATAGAAACCGCGCGTCCTTCATCCAACTGTGCTGCAATATTAACATTTCCGAATGTTCGGTATTTTACTGCATTGTCCAGATGCTCCATAGAAGATTGATGATCCCTGGCACGCTCGGAAAGATGTTTAAGAACTCTAAAACCAAATTTACACCAACGTGAGTCACTGGCGGTAGCAAAAAGTAGGCAATAAAAACAAAAAAGTGCATTTTTGTCCTCGCTGTAACACAACCATTCGTGTTTTTTATACCAAGTTTCTGCGCAGAATGTACGCCGACGCTTTCCTCCTCCGTCATGGGATTGTTCCAGTGAACAATTTTTTGGTTGATAAGGCCCAAGACGTTGTACCTCTAATTTTTGTTCCAGCGGCAGCTGCGAAAACGGAGTGCGAAGTAGTGCATCAACCTTATTCATTATGAGGTCTAAGGCTAAGAAATGCGAAGCCGGAAAGAAGGAATGTGGAAAATCGAAAGCAAATGGACCAAAGGTCTCTAACTGATTCAAATAGCGAAACAAGCGACAAAAACGAAGGCGAGGAAACTATCAACTCTTCAAGCAACCAACGAACGAGAAGGAATGCGTGAATATGTCAACACGTTGTTGTAAGAAACGTCGGCATTGTGTCGTCATAATTTCGGGGCTAGCCCCGATCGGCCCCGATGATTTAGTAAAAGAAACAGAAAACAAACGAGACAAGCGCGGCGAGTGAAAGATAAAAGAGAGAATACGATATACAATGAGCAACCAGGGCAAAATCGGCGTCACCCCGTCGACGTTCGGCGAAGGCTTTGCGAGCGAAAAATGAACCATGTCGGGAGAATATGGCTAGTGTAGACAGTCTGTGCAACCGATATTGAGGTATTTTTCGAATATGTTTTATTATACCGAAAAAACAACCGGGGCATCTGTTTCACACTGCCGTCAAGTACTGTATTTGGCCAATTATGTGAATATGAGTGTTATATTTGCGTTATAATGTTTTTTTGTTTTCAGTGGCTATAATTTTGTTTCAATTCCCAAATGAGCATGATGTGCACCAAAGTCACGTGATTTTCAACAACATTTCAGAAGACCGTTTTGTAAATTTCGAAACATTAATACAAGTTCCTAATAAAGCAACAACTCTGCGATTTCGGAACGGATATATTCATTTGAATATGTAGAAATGTAACTTCATTATTGCCAATTTCAGCGTGTACCCTACAACATTCGGTACGGTACACTTCTGGTACACCGTATCGATGTGGTACAGCCTGGGGTGTACTATACACCCGGTTGACGAGCCCTGCTCTAGTATATCATCATTGGTCCGTTTCTTTTTACAGGTATCCGCGACTGGCTGTGGAACTATTAATTACGGACAAATGAAAAGGTGAAATTAGTGTTATGCTTCTTGCCATATGTCTTCATTTGTACTAAAATCAGCCCATATTATTACATGGTAATATGTATGACGTAATATCTAAACATCACATTTAAAATATTTCAATATTATATCATTTGCAGTTACGAGGACTTATTCTGCGCCTCTAGAATGATAAAGCCTTTCTTGTTTTTAAACGTTATTTCGAACGAAAGGCGGAGGTATGGAACCATTTCCACTCAGGTGAGCCTATTCGGCAACTCACTCATTTATGGTCTGCGACACTAATGAGTAAAAGCAGTGGAGAGGGATTGGTCAGTGCAATAACAAAATCGATACTCTTATGTCACGTGTTCGACACCTAACTTTTCCATATGAATGCTAGAAGGGTTCCTCCGCCAGCACATTTCAGGGTTTCTCAAATTCAAATTCCTACATTCAAATCTAAGAGTTTATTACCTATCGATCTTAAGATCGGTAAGTATATTGATAGGTATTTGTCTGTATGTCTGTCTGTGTGTCTGTCTGTTAGAGGAACGCGATATCTCACGAACGCGTGGTTGAATCTGCTCCAAATTTCGCATGTGCATGCATCTTACCTCGGACCAGAAGCCTATTGATTTTGGGTTAATTATGTCGTATAATTAGCGAGTTATTAACTAATTACCGATCTAAGATCGACAAGTCTTCGGTCTCCGACCGATATTCTCGTTATAAATATTCGTATGTTCCTTTTTTTTTTTAATATAATCAGATACCTTAGGTTTGCTGCTGTTATTGATCTTGCTACACTTTAAATGTCATTTTGTTTTGTCATATCATGTTTGCCGTTATATATATTTGTAGTCAGTGGTAGGATTGATCGTTATTACTTATCGATTTTAATCGGTAGGTATGTTGATGGGTATTTGTCTGTATGTATGTCTGTCTGTTAGATGCACGCGATATCTCACGAAAGCGAGATTAAATCTTCTCCAGATTTTGCTCGTGCATTCATCATATCTCGGACCAGGAGCCTATTGATTTTGGGCAGATTATGTCGTATAATTAGCGAGTTATTGATTAATTAGTGATGGGACACAAGGTGTCACTATGGAGTAAGAGCGCTGCTATGGGGGATCCCCTAACTTTCGATCGATAAGTCTTCGGTCTCTGACCGATATTCTCGTTGGAATATCGTGCCAATTGGGAAACCCGATCTAGACGACGGCAGAAAACTGGCATCGCAGCCTACGACTAGCGTTATATTTGCCGTTTCGAAAGTTAGATATTAGCTTTATGTAGAGCATGCCACGTGTTAATGTGACATACAAACATTTTCTCAAATGAGTGAGAATGAGGTGTTTTTGTGAGTTCGATACAAAAGAGGAACCTTTCTCAAAATTTTGAATCCCAACACTGTTTAAAATGGTAATAAAATCAGACAATATAAGACAATTAAATCATTGCACGGGGGGTCTCTCAAGCTTCTGGATTGTTTCATTTGATTACTTATCGATCTTAAGATCGGTAAGTATATTGATAGGTATTTGTATGTATGTCTGTGTGTGTGTGTGTGTCTGTTAGATGCACGCGATATCTCACGAAAGCGGGATTGAATCTGCTCCAGATTTTGCATGTGCATTCATCTTATCTCGGACCAGAATCCTATTGATTTTGGGCGAATTATGTCGTATAATTAGCGAGTTATCAATCAATTATTGATATAGTGATCTAGATTTTTGTAAAGCGAGATAATTTTGAAACCCGCCGAGTGTGTGTGTGCGATGCGCAGTGCGCAAGTTACAAGAGCGGATGAATCGAAACTGCAGTTTCTGTTTTGGGGGATCCCCTAACTATCGATCGATAAGTCTTCGGTTTCCAACCGATATTCTCGTTTGAGTTTCTTTTTACCAAAAAAGTTGAAAACCACTGCAAACGACCTTGGTCATTTTAAACCGATTTTTATAATATTTATATCTCAAACAACAAACTTCCGACCCGAAAACGTGGTTCGGTGAGAGGTCAAAGACAATCACAATTTCGAGAGTCAGCCCATAGCCTAAAAGCAATTTTATAGTCGGCGCAGAACGGATGCGCGCAGCAGAGACGTGTGGCCTTTTTGACCAGCTGCGCGAATAAAGGGGAGAGACGAATGCTTTGTGAGTTGGAGTCGAAAAACGCTCGGCCACAGCTTCATCTCAGGAAAAAAGGCTCACCTGTTTGAAACATGCAAATAGGGCTTATATCAATATATGTTTGTGAATGACTGCCGATGGGCGATGTCGGCGAATTTGTAATATCGGACCGTTGTATCGGTAGAGCTCTAACTAAAACTTTGTTTGTTTTATTTCAGGTGCAATCTTATCGTCCGAATAGTAATGAAGCATTCACTTCTCTCAGCAATAACATTACAAAGGGAGATACAAACTTCAATATCATTCTTTCCAATTTTCTTCGCCCGGTATTCCAACAGCATGCGAATTTCACTTCGTTGTATCAAATATTGTGAGTTGATTTTTGAGAATACGCCTCTTGCATGTTTTTCACATATGATATAAGTTGTCTTCTACTAATTTAATAACTTCACTGTTACGTTATCAGAATGATCGCAAACGAATACCTGATTTTCAATAAACGTACTTTTCACATTATCAGAATTGGGGATCGGTCGAGCCATCAAAACTTGAACAAACATATCATCGTTATTCATCAACGTATAGGAATAACAGATTTCAGATAGACGGATACCCTTCAAATATTGTTATGGGATACATTCTTTTAGCAAGGTCGCTAAATTTGAGTAAAGCAATTGATAATGATTAGAAATAATTAAGGTCATATAAACACTATTGATTCAATTTTTTCTTGTGTACACCAATACCGGAGTCAGATACTTATTAATTGCTATTTGTCCATTCTTTTACCATTTTCAATAATGAATTGTAATTTTTGACCCAGTATGTCTTGTGCCCAAATCTGTTTTTAACAATATTATAAATGAATACGTCTCATCGATTTGTTATGTTATTTGATACTGAATGATTTTCATCAATGTAAAGCAGATAGTTACTACAGTTGTGCTAGACGTTGAGAAATTATCGTATTCATTTTCAGAGAGAACGGGAAAAATATATTGTCAGAGCATACGGATCAAGTTGCTAATATTATCCTGGAATCAATAATGACAGTACCGGAATTATTTAACGGTATAGTACTTCACACATACATCTTACTTATTTCATAGCTCAGGAATTCCGGCCTATGTACAAAGTAATAAGTTAAAAACTTGGACGCATTTATTTGTCGTTTCCTATTATTTCGAAGCATTTAAACATCGATATTTTTGCAAGTTTTATTTAAAAGTGACCTTTACGAAGTAATTTTCATCAATGATTAAATTTATTCGTTGTGAAATTGTAGGTGTTGTTGCATGGATTCTAACAATTAATTCGTTCTCTCACTTGCAGGCGACAGAGCAACAAAACTTATTAATGTTCTATACGCAAGAGCTTTAAACATTAGATCGGTAATCCCAAATTGGTATAGCTATTCTTTGAGATCAAATACTTGGGGTATATACGATGATAAACTGTACAATACGTACGGAAATCAGGTGTGTCGACATTTTATGACTAAATACATAAAATTCGTAGAACATTTCGTTTGATTGACATCTGTATCAAAAAATTGAATATGAAGTTTAAATTGAGAAATGACGTTACTAGTTTTTAATACATAACGAAAAATTATTATTAGCCGAGAAAACGGCTGATTTCGAGCTTGAGAACCAATTAATTACGACATAGACTTGTCAAAGTTGTATGAAAGACACTCGCTTTATATAAATAATTTTGGACCAGAATTTTCATTTCAAATCAAGCGCTCTGGTTTATTTCGGTTCTACTGATTTAGGTATCTATCGGAAGTTCACTTCGAAGTTATAGTGGGAATTATGGGAAAACTGTACGGTAAGAAATTTTTACAATTTCATGACTTTATCGTTCAATATATATAGTTATAATAGTTAACCAGAAGTACCTCAAGGCCTTGCTTGTCAAGAAGGCCCTTCGATATGACACTCTTTATAAAAATAAACGATAGCAATGCGCATAGGTACATTGAGTTATCTTTTATCAAATGTATTATATGAAGTAGCCGACAATAACGTTTCACGCTGTTAAATTTGAAATCTCAATAAATTTTTGAAATACTATAATATATATACGCAAAATGATAGAAAAAGGCGTTATATGAAATTCTTTATTTATTTATGATTCATGCAGAATGGATGGAGACAGATCCTTAATGAAATCTAAAACTTCTCAACCGTTCATCATGATCAATGTTATCTTAAACGAAGACAGAGTGATCAAATATTACTACACGCAAGTGAGTTTTCTTTAATTTTTCGGAGACTAAGGGCACTTTGCTTATAGTTAACATTTTAATATTGAAGTTTTGAGCATCATTTTGACAGCAAAAACATAATGTTCTATTATATTTGACCAGCGGATTTTTGAAAAATCGCAAAATATTTTAAGATTGTCTCGCCAGAAAACACAGAATAAATTGAGAGTTGCATTATGTTCCGTGTCAATGCAAAGAAAAAACCCAACATTCTCATCTGATTGACCAAAATCAGCCTTGAGTACTGATGTATCAAATCAAGGAAACAATTTCTATTTTCCACTGTTTAAAATTTTAACCTGGTATTAGTCTAGTCCAGTGATTCCCAAAGTGGGCGATATCGCCCCCCGGTGGGCGAAAACGATACAGAGGGAGGCGAAAAAGTCGAAGGGGGCGATTTCGCAAAATCCATGTTTGGTCGGCGCATCGTGCACTTGATTATTGTACTCTGCGTGCTTTCGTAGGTTTGAATCACGTGGGCGATGTCACACGCGAAACGATTGCTGGACTCGTCCTCGCAGTAAGGTACGGTAGTTTACGTATCCCAGTGGTCGGGAAATCTATAGTAATCTGGCCCGAGACGCTTCACTGAATGGACCTTTCCCGTCCTTTGATCCCGGAAAATTCTTCCCTCACTTTACCATTGTAAAATTTATTTTTTCGGTGCTTATTTTAAGAGTGGTTTCGCGAGTTGTTGCCTATAAAATGAAGTATTTGTTTCAAACTATCATTCTAATTCATATATACAATCTGTTTTTCAACAATCTGTTTTTTAAAAGTACCGGTGAAGAATTTTAGCCTAGTCTATCACAGCTATTTCTACACTAATTTTTGATTACTGTAATAAAACTGAATCTCCTAGGATGATCATTGATTTGTTTAACTAAAAACTAACGAATATAATTCAAAATCGCGAAAATGAGGTAATGTTCACGACCAAGCCTAAAAGTCTATCTGAGGGAGGAATGTGTCTGAGTGAATGCGAAAGGGGGCATTGTTACGTTGCCAGGGGAAGCATTCAAACGGTGGCTTTAACGATGAATTAATTTTATTTATTATCTACGCTCGAGGAGTAATTATATTTTTTTACGTAACAAAATTTATCGTGCGACACAGTTAGACTAAATTTTATTATATCCTAAAAATTATATTGAACTGCTACTCGTTTAACGAGCCTACAATTTATTTATAATTGGACAAATGGAAACACGCAGAAATAAAATTCATATTCTATTCGAGAGACTCATCACTGCTTAATTTTTGTAAGAATGTATCTTAAAGAAAATCTTTATCAAAATTTCAGAAACCATGCGAAAATATTCACTTTGATGTTTGGAAGTATATATTTGTGCGAGCAATTATTTTCGAAAATGAACATTACAAAGAACAAGCAAAAAACTAAGATTGTGATGCCCATTTAAAAAATCTTCCAATCTTGGCGTCGTAAAGCTATCAAGCGTGATGCAGCAACAAGACAGTGTCATATTAAATGTCATTGTAATAACTTTTTAATAAGACGACTGAGTTGAGTTCACGAATCGTCGCAGTTTTCGCACGATGTTCTGTTATTAACTTCAAAAAATATATGCGATCCGCAAAAGAATAGCAACCCTAAATTTTTGTCCCACGAGCGACGTAAAATTTGCGGACCCCTGGGCCATCCGAGTCCACGAATCCAAAACAAATGGTTGATCAATTATATGGACTGGTGATCGGACTGGAGGACATGGTAGGAAGAGGAATCGGGGATGAATTTTACCGAAGACCGTTATATATCATGTGTTTTGGTGAAGGTCATCAGGCTGCAGGGATCAATGAGATGTACGAAAATCATTATTATAAGTTTTGGAAAATTAATTTTTTTTTATTATTCTAAAGTGAAATGGGGTGAATTTAGGGAGATAAATGCTATAGGGCAAGAGTGCACGGTCTTTGAGAAGGTAGAATCCTGGATTCTTTCATTTCCGACCTCTGATATGGTGAAAGAGGGGTTTTTAGCCGTGCTGCTATTGCTATCAAAACAACGGAATCGCTTTTCAGTAAACGGGGTAATTTAGATATAATAAAAACTCGCTGAAGAGCACCAAGCTCATCCATCTCATTAAAAAACACTATAAACTATGATTTGTCTCCTTATTTAGTCTGTAATATATTCGTTACAGACTTTCAATTTTTTTTGGAAGTGCCGGGGGGCGATGAAGTTGTCTAGTCCATGCAGTAGATTGACGAAAAGAAAATTTAATGAGAAAATCATTCTTTATTACAACGTATTCGGGATCATCACAGTATCAACACCGAGAAAATATTTTACAGATCATTTCACAACGAAACAACAACGAAGATCTAATCAGCCAATTGCAGAATAACATTACAAAAGGAAATTACAAACTGCAGTATAACCTTATCCAATTCTCTTACGAAAACCAAACAACTCCGGTTGAATTTCATTTCACCGTGTCTAACGTTGCCGTAAGTATATGTTGAAGCACTTATCAGTAATTTATATACATCAAAAATATATAAATTTTATACGCCATAAAATATAACTATATTCCAGTATAAAAAATGTGTACTCATTTGACTCTAGAGGTAACAAACGTCAACTAACATCAAATTGCTCGCATGTACCGACTCCAAAATGTACTTTCTTCGTGCTATATTAAGCGCCATTGACGTAATTATAACTAATGACTTTAATGCTCTTTGTTTAGAAGTGGCATTCTGTCGAACCATCCTTGTTGAAACGCACGTACTCTTACAATAGTGGTATATACAGACGCAACAGGTTTCAAATCGACGGCAGCCCCTCCAACATAATTATGGGGTACCTGCTTCTTACTAGGTAAAGATTCCTGTATCATTTATATACAATGTAAATTGAAGTTATAAATAGTTGAAATGTCTTTGCTTGTTTTCAACAATAGGCAAAATGGAAGCAATGTAACAACAACTCAATCTGACGCTGTTGCAAGCATTATATTGGACGCAATTATGTCCGTGGATGATCTGTTCAACGGTATTATTTATTGTTCCAATGCAACCCTAACGCAATGCAATCCTTAACGTCGTTTGCTTACTGTATTTTATGATTATTCTTCTGATACTATATTATGTTTAATCAGAATATCGTGAAAATTCCCTTCTGGTGCCAATCACTATTGACAAAGGGAGCAATAACCAAATCATGGAAATGATACCACCAATTTACAGAGCTCATGTCGAACCGGGATTTCTACAGTTTCGGGCTTATAATTTGACAGGATATCCGAATGCTTTATGTCCAGGTGTAAAGTAAGTCTTACAAATCCATACTTTTAAACAGAGTTCGTTTATATTACATTTAAATTTGAAGATTAGAAAAAGAAAAACACCAAGACGATGAAAATTCAAAATAAAATGAAAGAAATTTGTGAAAATGTTCCGATGTCTTACCCGCAATGTTTAAGTCAATACAACAATCAAGTGAATGCGATTTTCGATGTAACAGATGATACAAACGGTGGTGATTCTGGTTGTGTTAAACTTGAAAACTTAATGATTTTCGTGTTCTCATCTCACGTATTTCGTCGTTCATATCGTCCAATCAAATGAATTTATCAATTGCAGAATTGGTATTTAGCTGCATCACTAGGGTAATACAGACAACAATTTTTTTCAGAGTTAAATCAATCTCACCTGAATATTCATGCATCGGAGGTCTATCAAACGACGCAACAAAATTTGGAACATGACTTTGCAGGTATTATATGAATCAGGTTGAAGCTAATATTGTTAACATATACGTGAGGTGCTGTTATTTAAAACACTGTACACTAAGGAACGAAAATGTCTTTCTGCTATTAACATGATAACCATTTTTTTGTTTATTAATTTTAGGATGGGGAGGAAAATTAGGTGACTTCATCAACCAGTCGTCCGCAAACGGATTTGCTCATTCACAGAATGATATTTCTTCTTCCATCCTCATATTTTATCGTTAGCATATTGGCACTTCTATTAATTAAACTATTTTTCCATGCACTTGAATTAATTATGAATATGTAGTGTACATTATCTTATATAATTGGTTGTTTTATTTACACACGCTGGATTCAGCATGAACTTTTAAATAATATCTGTTCAAATCCATTACTTATCGATCCGTTTTCGTGTACTCAGAAATGACCAGTACCGGATTGTCTGCAGCCCAGGGCATCCAATCATGAAGGTCGACGTTTAATTTTAAACATTTATTATTTATGTCAGATCTCATTTAAATTGTAAATGCTTGTTCTAGTATAATGTCGGTTTAAAAGTTCATACAACTGAAATTCTTTTGAATCAGGTTGGTAATTTTTTTTCCTAAATATTTACCATTCAAAAGGTTAAAAAAATGAGGATAAGTGATTTTGTTAAATTTGGAAAATACGTCGTTGAACCCAAAAGCAAAGTAGGCAATGGTAATTTGATTAACCGAACAGTTTTGACCGTAAATATGGCTTCTGTTTTGAAAGACTTCTGAATCATTTAAAATCTAAGAATTATTATATTTCTTGCTATTCCGGATTTTTTTCATCGTAGACCCGTTTTTATTCATCAGTAATGTTTTATTTATCAATAACTAGGAATAATTCTATCCCACCTGCCTTGACTAGAAACGTATTAGTATTATGATGTTGGGGATTCTAGTGACACGACGTTTTATTACAGCCTTGAGTTTCTTGAAGTGTTCTTAATTAAATTCAACTTACTATATACAATATAGCCCTACTTATGGGATTAGCGTACGTAAGTATCCCGTCTGTCGCTCAGATTTTGTTTTTTTACGCAATTTACAAGTATACCTGTGATTACATTTACATTCGTGTTCGTTACCGTATCTTGTCAGTTCTAACTGGTCTCTAATTTGTGCTACCGGTATACATACATACAAATGAGTACCGGTACTCATACCGTAATAACTATGATTTCATTACGTACCTGTTTTTCTGTAACATTTCCTCACATGTCTTTTAACTTACTTCACTAATACGCAAGCAAGGGACTGTGACAGTGGCAACTTATGCTGCCACTCAGGCTTTTGTTATTTTACTAATTCAGCATTTTTGCTGCTTGGCAGCGAGCTAAAAGGGGGAATACCCTCTTAGCCTCCAAGCAGACTTAATGTATTCACTTTTGATTTGTATTACGCGATGTTGGTTATTTATTTACCTATCGCATTAGATGGTTCAACTACCAAGCCTCGATCGTGAATGATAACAGTTTTTCAACAATCAAGTTGCTAAAACTTGGCTAATGTCTATTTAGATATTTGAACCTTGGATGTCGCTGCTTGATAACCAGCTTTGGTTCCTCGCAGCTTCCCCTCCCCACTGAAATGTGTTTTTAATATTATTCGTCTTAATTTTGCATGTTTATCAAGTTGCTAAAACTTGACTGATGTTTATTTATATATCTGAACCTTGGGTGTCGCTGCTTGATAACCAGCTTTGGTTCCCAGCAGCTTCCCTTCCCCAGTGAAATGTGTATTCAATATTATTTATTCGTCTTAATTTTGCATGTTAACTTTTTTTACTGGATGGAAAAAATAAACTTCACTATGACTATGGGTTTCCCAAGCTTTTTTCGCGGTGCACACCTAAATTTTTCATTTAAAGTCGTGAGTATCAAGATTCCAAAATTTTTGTTGGAAATATCCAAGTTGAATCACTTGCTGTCTCAATAAAACAAGTTTGATTTTAATGTGCTAAATATTATTACCATATATATTCAAATTTGGGCTGCCAGTACCTTTTTTGGACCTTGCTTCTCGAACCCATAAGACAGCTCGCATAGATTGGGGTTGTTTTGTCACTGTACTGCCAACTGGTTTCCTAGTATAGGTACCCAAAACAATTTTTTTCAAATAAATTCAAGTTTTTAAGTCATATAACAAAATATATTGATAAAACGACTAACAGAAGTTTTAGTGGAAACTTTTGGGCTGCTTGTTATGCACAACCATCTAGATACGGAAGGCCAAGTCACTCATATGCAATGCATTATCGTTCAAATGAACGCTCCCTACTAACCCAAGCAATAATATAACAGGTGCTCTTTCGTTTATTTCAGTTTATCCAACAACATATGGAAAAACTTCAATGAAATGTACTCATTTAATAAAATTAGCACTTTATCAGTGGACCCTTTGTAATCGTTTAAATATTCCCAGTCCTCGCCATAGCGTAGCACCAGGATTGCATGGAAATATATATTTTGCATTCAATTCAACAGTTTGTCTCTTTGCGTCTTGCTTGTGCAAATATCGTATATTGCACATGCATGAAATATATATATATCGACCATTAACGGTGTTCATTTTCTACCGACCGTATACTAAGAATGGCCCTGAAAAACGCCTAGGAAATGAGTTTCGTAGCGCACATTGCTAAAAATATCCTTTAGTTTTGTATGAAAATGAACGTACAGAACGGATTCCAGCTTGCATCCACTAACGAAAATAGCACATCTTCTATAAAAGTTGATTTTATGCAATAAAGTCACAAATTAACATCGTGAGCACAAAAGCCCGAGTAAGTTGGTTATTTCTCACTGAGAACTATACACAGAAGTCTTTCTGACAGCAAGAAAACCGAATAACATAGGGAACAGAAATACTACAAGTAATATATTTTCAAATTATGTGGTTGCGTATTTGAAACAAAGGCAATATTATTTGGAAAAATGTTTGTGGTTTATCATTGGAGGCGCTGGTGATACAAACGTGCACCCATTTTACTGATTTTGACTTCTTCGTCACGAGGGGTATGCATTCTATTCAAAATTAATATCTCATCAGATTGGAAATTCACATAAATCAAGATGATGGAAGATATGTCGCATTAAAAGTGACGATTTTGTCCGAGCGAATTGGTTTAGTCAATATATATAATATACCTAATGAAGATAGTGTCGATTTTTTCAACAATTAATTAATGCTTGGTTTGCTGGAAACATTAGAAACTAATCACGTAATAATCGCTGGAAATTTTAATACAAGATCATGACACGTATCGATTTTTTTCTCGTTTCCAAACATCTAGTTACCCAAACAACGACGAAATGTGCGATTATGTCTGCGATCAATTCAGACCACGCCCTGTGTACTAGAGACTTCAACATAAATCCAGTCAAGAAAGGTAAAGGATACTGGAAACTCAATTGCTCATTGTTAAAAGACAAAAAATACACAAATCTGATGAAAAAGACAATACCCAATGCAATATTTGACCATTCTCATGAACCGGTTGATCCCCAGTTGTTCTGGGATGTTCTCAAATGTTTAATAAGAGGGGAAAGCATAGCTTATGCATGTAAACAAAAGTACTTGAAGCAAAAAGAAGGAAAGAGTTGGAGTATAAATCAACCAACTAAGGAATGAAATGCACTCAAATAATTCGACAGACACCTATCAAAAGGAACAGGATAAACTAAATTTATAATATCAAAGCATAACACAGGGCCATATTATACGCAGTAAAGCGAAATGGACTGAAGATGGAGAGAAAAACTCAAAGTATTTTTTTTTTGGCCTTGAAAAACGAAGAAAGCTGAATTCCATGATTTCAACCTTAGAAACAGAACATGGTATCTCAACCAATCAATGTTACGAAACATTGTACAGTTATGATCAACCGAACCATATTTACACCCAAAATGTTATCGAGACTCTAAACATTTCTTCTATGGAAAACGATATTTCTCTTAGGTCCTCAGAACAAATTACAGGACAGCAATGTAGAATCGCATTTTTCAAAATGACAGATCACCTTGCGAATTTTATAAGGTCTTTTGGAAAGACTTAAAAGATTCTCTGCTGGAATGTTATAACCTGGCGTGGATCACTATCGACCCATCGGATACGAATACGGATTACATAATTCTAAGTAAAGTTCTCACGACACAAATTCAAATGGTAATGAACGATATAATTCACAATGATCAAAGAGGATTTATCGAAAACAGACAAATGGGAGAAAACATACGATTACCGGTACTCTGTGATATAATTAACCATACAACATACAATAGAATACCTGGCACAATTATTGAATTAGATATTTATAAAGCATTTGATAGTGTCGAAAGGTGTTTCCTGTTCCAGTCACTAAAAGCATTCTGATTTCAAGACAACTTCATTTTGTGGATGAAAACTCTTTATAACCAAAACAAACTGTCTGTAACAATCAACAATTTCTTCTCTGGGTCAATTATTCCACAAAGACGACTTAAACATGGCGACCCAATCTCAACCTATTTATTTCTGATAGTGATTGAAATTTTTGCAACGATGGTTTGTAATAACGACGATATCACTGTATTTAAAATAGCAGAAAACTGAATTAAAATAGCCCTAGTTGCAGATGATACCATAATTTTCACTGATGGTTCATCTAAATGCATAGAAACTTCGAACAGCTGAAGTGTTTGGAACTATGTCAGAGTGCAAAACAAGTGCTGAAAAATCACAAGCACTGAAATTGGAACTAAAAGTGGCATAATTGCACAAAATATTCACCACAATCTCAACTGGACCCATGAATTTAAATTATTGGGATATACAATTACGGGCGCTCCCGTAGTATGTGAACCAAGATGGCGGACACCGGGACGTAGTATATGTACCAGGTTAGGGTTAGGCCATAATTTTATTCCAATTTTAGTTCTAGCTAGCTTAGGACTAGCCAAGTGACTCCCGAAGTATTTGTACCTGAAATTATGTCCCAACCCTTACTTGGTACACATACTACGTTTCGGTGTCCGCCATCTTGGTTCACACACTACGGGAGTACCCAATTACGGCTGATTTGAACCAACTATATGAACTTAACTTACCGTCTAAGTTGCAGCAAGTACGGAACATTATCCAAATTTGACGTATGAAAACTTCAACAATTCTCGGAAAAGTGTGTGTAATCAAATCATTAATTCTACCACTTTTTACTTATCAATTTGCATTTTTACCAGTTACTATACCCAAAAATACGTAAAATCACTGAATTCTTCAATATTTCGTTTCCTGTGGAATTCAAATTGGGAAAGAGTTAAACGTAAAACACTGATTGGCCTGAAAATGAAAGGTGAAATAGATAGGGTAGGCGTTGAAAGTACCATTATTTTAAAAAAAAATAGTTCCACCTTATTAATGAGTAGAAAGATAGCAATTGTCAAACCATTAAACTTAATTATTTACAAGATATAGAACTACATTGTTTACTGAAAGAAAATTTATGGTATAACTCTCGCTTCATAAAAAATCTTCATTTTATAACAATTAAGGATACACTTTGCATGCACCTGGTACACATATACGGAATTAACATCTAATGCCAATATCCATCTTTATAATGAAACATTATGGTACAACAAGAAATTACAGTATGCAAGAATGCCATTTTTTATAAAAAATTGAAAAGAATACGAAGTCTGTGAATTGCACCATTAGGGGAACAGAAATTCTCTTATTTCTAACTGATAGAACATTACCGTATAGAACAGGGTGGTCCAAACCCAAGCCCGCGGGCCACATGTGGCCCGCCTCTCCATTATCTGTTAAAACATAACACGTATATAATTCTCAATTACTGAGGTTATAATTTATTAAACAGATAGCAACAAAACGCGGAAAATGCAAACGGTTCAATGGCGCAGAATTCACATCGATGTTCGGAAGTAGGTTGTATATGCACGCGAATAAATATTTTCGAAAATGAACATTACAAAAAACAAGCTGAGGACTAGGATTAGTGATTTTCATTGATAAAATGTTTTATTCTTGGCTTCATCTAGTGTCCCATTCAAAAGTGTTCTCCATTTAGTGATGCCGAAAACGCATCAGTCGTGATGCATCAAAAAGTGTCTCATTTGATGTCATTTGTAAATTTTGAGTAGGACGACTAACGTAAGTTCACGACTTGTTGCAGTCTTCGCGCGCTGGTTAAACTTTCAACTTCTGATCTGTGTGAAAAAATTGTGATTTATCGCCCATTCGTTCGGATTTTAATTTTCTCCAAAAATGTGTGGCCCGCCAAACTTGCAACGCTTAAGTTTGGCCCGCGAGCGATAAAAGATTGCCGAGCCGATTTAAGAAATATACCCGGGCGAGGCCACTAAACAGACACTCCAATTATTTATAGGAACATGACTTACGACACTAATAGTTATCTCAGATGAGACTAATGATATTTGAATTTACTTCCACATATAATTCATTTTCATCCGAATGGCTTCCGGAATCCCCACCCTCGAAAATCGACGGGGGAATGATTGGCTTTGGTTGCAAGCAACGGCGATGAATTCCTGTCTAGTACTTTGCCTTCAAAAAATGCTTCTTTAGAGAATCTTTGTTTGGGAGGGAGAGTATCATCCATATGTTTATGTTAATTTACTTTTTATAATAGATGTGTTTCAGTTCGAACATGCTATGAACAATTCTCAGTCCAGCTATCATCTACCGGTATTCCTCATTTGGGGATTGATGTTGAGGTACATTGAAAAAAGATCCTAATACAATTATGTGTAGTTTCCAGGGTAAGGAAAACGTTCACATCCCGTCACAGGCTGGGTCTCTACCTTTATCACTATGGCCAAAACCCTCGATTTCAAGTAGCTGGCATATCAGTGGCTGATCCTGCGGAATAACTTCTGGCATGGAATGACAAAACCGTCTCCTTTAGGACCAACGCAATACTTGTAACACAAGACATCAAACAATGTGGACTCGCGAGAAAACATTTATTGACATGAAAAAAAAATTACATATAGAAAACTTATAGCCTACTTGCTTGCTGAATATGACAAAAATAAATAAAACGTGATTTGATTAAACTGCATCAATTAATGTTGTTTTGGGGTCTGCGGAGCAGGAGTTCGCTTGGACTTTAACAGATTTTTCCAGGCTGAAATGATAACTGCAAATTCGATGTCTTCCGTAGTTCCAAGGGGAAATCAGAAGGGGTTAGTTAAACAAATTTGATCCGTAGTTTTGTTCTTGTTCCACTCTTGTGTACCATCACTGTAAATTGTGTATCATAAGCTCTGATTAGTGAATAGAAAAGAAGACACAAAGTATAAATACTAGATAATTTGATTCGATAGAAATAACCTAGTATAAGTTTTTTCACTTTAAAATATGTTACAGCAGGCCTTCAGCGAAGAAATCAGGTATATTTTAACCCCAGTTGCTAAGCTTATAGTCATTGATTAATGCACTAATATTATTTGGATAGGTTGCATAGTTTTGATCCTAATGAACCGTTTGTCAAATACAACCCCAAGTACAACTAGCAAAATAAGACTAAGGAGCGCACTAAATGCCTTTGAGCTAATTCAGAGTTACGCCTACGAGTTCTCAGTAGTGCGTCATCAACGGGCCATACTAATTTGCGTTTGATTTCGGCAGGGTTGGACTTTTAAGAATTCGAGTCTAATAAACGAAGTCCATTTTATTTGAGAGGTTGACGCAAAAATACAGATAAAGTAAAATATTTTTACTTGATGTTTTACATACGCATACACATTTATAATACGATTTAATTGCACTAATCCTGTTTAGACAAAATCGAAATAGCATCACATAAATAAATAAAAGAATTTAATTCAACACTGAAAAATATTTTCAAATTTCCAAGAAAGGATTGTTGCAGCAAAAACAAGATTGCAACTGATCAACAACAATTCATCTCGGAGAAAAAGATCAGACGCTGTTTCAAACTTGTGCAACTGATGTAAAATATTCCAAAGTTAGCATCCGTTACTTCTTCCTTCATCGAACAGATAATTAGAAAACTCTTCCCATATACAAACTAGACCGATAACCCGTGAGGGTCAGGAGAGAACTTTTCTCACATTCGACCTCGACTAGTAACCCAACTAGAAGCTATTCTCCACCATGTAACTTTCTCCTATGTGATAAATTTGATAATGATGAAAAATTTAAGTTCTAGGCCTCTGAACGGTTATATCGACGTGTTGTCCGTTTCTGCGTTACAACGCAAGAACAATATTGTTAACAATATTCTATTATCGTTATGAATTTACAATATTTATTTATTCTCTTTCAAATTTCTGTTAATTGCTCTTATCTTTCTCATGTCTTGTAAGAATTCTTTCCAGGCTGTTTCATGTGCTTTCATTTCCTTCCCTTTTTGTTTTGTCCGATATCCCTTTACCTTCCAGCCGCGGTGTACTAGGAATGCGTTACTTAGTACAACATATCTGTATCCCAACGCATTGAGTAGTCGTTTCTAAAAGGAACGATAATTGTGTATTATTACAATTTTTTTCGGATTCAGTAATTGAGTTTCTGATCCGCATCACATCTGTTGTTTGATACGGATTTAACTTCGTTACTTTTTCAAATTCGTCTTTTTTATTTATTAAATTTTTGCGCTCCATAGATTAGGTATATTTTCTGAAATTACAAAATACCTCGGTGCTTTAAAAATGATGCGTGCCTACTTTATAATGCGTTTTTATTTTCTAAACAAATTATCATTCGCTATTTTGCGATCAAACCAGACCCACGGCCTGATTCTTTAATTCTAAATTTGAACTCTGCCTCTTTCGGATTTTGGTTAGACGCAAAAGAAGTAAATATAAAAGTAAAATGCACTTACATGATGATTTTCAACAGGGCTGTAACCACTGAATCGTTCGTCATATATTGGTATTCCTTTCCTGGCTACAATGAACGGTTCATATCCAGGTAAATATTTAACTTTATACAGGCAGGTTGTTGGAGACTCTTCGTCATCATTTGAAGAACTTAGCCATTTTGTGTGATTGGTTGGTCCGTAACCAACTTCATACATTCCACTGAAAAAATATGTACTACGTCCAGATAGTACTGATTGTCTTAATTCTTTCACAGTTCTTGGCAGTATTTTATCATTTGACTGAAACGCCGGAACTACGTACAAATCTGAAGGAGATTTTTTACCATTTACGTGATTCAAACAGGAAAAATTGCGTTTCTGATATTTAGGAACACTCATTTTTGACAAAGGTAGATGCGATTTTTCTGCACCATACAAGTTTAAACTTTCCGCAAACTTTATAAATTTATTTCTCATTCCTTTACTAGGTGTTAAATCGGAGTCAATACATAGGAAGTAATCCGTAGTTGAAGAATTTAAAGCCACGTTCATCGCTATTGTATGGGGATAAAAAGAGATATGCTCTGGTGTGCTGCCCGATAAACCAAGTTTTGCATTATTCTCTCCTAAAATTTTTAGAACACTTTCAAATTGTTTTGCTGAAATATTTGCTGATTTTGTTGATAACTTGATGCGGTCTTTAATAGTTTTAAAATAAGGAGAATATCGTTGGTCCTTCATTCCAAAATCTCCAAGTGGATACAAAATACTCCACACTACGTGCATTCTGGTAGCTTCGAAATTCTTTCTTATGAATGTTAATATTTCTGATGTCTCGTTGAGCAGCTTCACCTGGAAAAACAGCAACAAACAATGAGACAAATTAATTTTTACCACTATACCACTGAAATGTTTGTTTTCGGTTACATGTAATTACAATGTCGAAAACTATGCAACAGGTATACTAATCTGATTTTTGAAATATAGAAGCTAACGAAGTGTCTTGTTAAGGTTACTTACGTAAACATGCATATGCACTGTTTTGGCGTTTCCCACCTATTTTAGGGGAACTTCAACTATAAAACGTAGTTATTTCTTCGAATCCTCAGAAGTGAAAAAAGCAATGGGGATCTTAGATAGATATTAAATATATTTTCTGACTCGTTGAGTATCAAAACATAATGCATCGGTTGAAACAATAGCGGTAGTCGTTTTCGTTTACCGAAACACTAATTACGTGCTTATCAATGATGCTTTTTAAAGGATACAATTTTATGCTATACACACTCTTGCGGTTGGTACAGAATTTATAACAAAATTAATTTTTCTAAACTGAGCAATATTATATTTCTACTCTGTCACACTTGGCCCTCTTATCCCATATTTTTCTCACTTTCTTCCACATTTAACCCACACTTCAGCCACTTAAAGTGGGATTCATGTTATGTTCTAGGTTAAAATGGATAAATGGACTTTGATCAGAAGGCTAGGGTAAGCGTGTGAGGTGAGATTCATACAATTAAAACAAGTGTGAGAAATTGTAAAACAAGTGAGGCACAATATTGTTAAGTTTTTGGGGTAACTCATTTGTGCGAGAAAGGTCCAACTGAGCATATGCTTTTCTCCGAACTTGACGCAGTATTATAGTACTAAAGATCACTTGTACATCACATTATTAGCTATTTAATCAGAAGAACTCAGCAAACCATCGAAAATCTCGCGTAATATCGGCCGACACATGAGTAATTTAATATCAGAAATCAAGAATCAGATAAATACGCAAAAGTAGGGATTTTTGTCATTATTTAGGACTTCATAAAATAGCAAACGATACATACAAGCAGTTAAAACTATTCAAAGTGTCAAGCCTGCAGCTCTTGACTCATAGCTTTAATGATTCCGCTTCGCGGTACCTTCACGTGATACGTCACTTTCAAGCAAACTCTGTTAACTGCGTTATGATCAGAAAAGCATTATTAATACTACTTTTCATCGCTATTTTAAAGCAAATTAAAACATACCTACCGATGTTACAAAGATGCAGACATGTATTGGGCCCAGAAAATTTTCAGCCAAGTTTATGACGTTTTGCAATCTTGATGCGTCCATGTGAGTGACCAATGTAACGTCATGATTCTTTGGAATTTCATCTGAGGTATATGCATTTCGGATAATCCCAAATGTGTGGGTATTATCCACGTCTACAACGAATTCCTTGAAATCAGGTTCGATATGGAATTCATTTTGAGGTGGAGTTTTGACTTGCTCCCAGCTGAAATAATTTTATTTTATGGTGAAATTTGTATTAAACAAATTGCCTATCGCAATAGAATCATTAATTTGTTCGCTGTTAATCAAAACGAACGTTTACTTACTTGAACATTCTTTCCATTTTAAACTTCACATTATGCCGAGTTAAGTAAATTGTAGCAAATATGATCAATCCTGAGTATAGTAGAACTTCTTGTCGTAGTTTCATTTAATGTTTTATATAAGTTAGGGCTGTTTATGACCTATAACAAGATAAATATTACTAAACACTATTCAAAATCCGTGGGCCATAGATTGAAACTATTTAGGGGCCGATGAGGAGTCGAGTTGTAAGTAAAATCTTCGAGTGGATAAAGCTATCATACTGCTACCTTTGTTCAGACATCAGTTTTCAAGGTATGAATTTGCAATACATTTTTTGAAATATTAAAATTTGCGATCTTGGAGATTCGGCATCATACGTTTTTTTATTTGTACTAGACTAGAGAATGGGGTGGCCGAAGAAATTTGGAACCATTGCCAATACGCGGTATGTAAGATATCGAATTGCAAAACGCGAAATTTACAAACTTTATATAAATTCGTAAAGAAATATTCATTTATTTCAATTATCCTAATATTAAAGAGGATGTTCCAATTTTTGTGCGTGACTTTGGCCATAAAAGTACAAAAAATTGATATTTTTTGAAGGTCCGTTATATAGACTGCCTAAGTTTGAAAGAGGTAACGAACGCTTCGTGCTCTGTACTCTACCAAGATACTAAATGACTAAATGGCAAAAATCTGATATTTATACGTTTGCAAATATCCAAGCTACCCATAAACTTATACCCTATATGGCAATGTCATGCTAAGCAGTATGTCAAGCTAAATTACTAAGTAAAACTGAGGAAGTTGTTCACAATCATTTTTTCGCACTGATTACTTCGTCAAAGCTTGCCCAACAAAGTGTCTAAACTGAAGGCATAACTAGTTATAGTAATACGAAAATGCAAAAAAGCTTTGTTGGGTTCAATCTGCACACGCATATAAACAACGATCATTAAATAGCCCCAAGGTGGATCGCCAATTCTAATTTCAATTAGGCCTGCTTTACACTGCAGTCTAATGACTACAAGTACGTATAGCTTACAAGGTACAATGTTTTGTGAGACATAGCCCAGAGCGTTATTGTGAACTTGAATATTATAAACGTTCCACGTATAAGTAGCAAAATGGCGCAGATAATTATACCAGATATGGTAGACGCTAATCTAAACAGAACTAACTAAATAAAAATTAACCACTGATTTGTATATTGGGTAAAGCATTTTAGTATGCTTGAGCTTCAAAACATAAACGGGCAGACTCAAATCTTTCTATTTAACCCTTTTGCCGTGGAAGTACGAAAATAATAATAAAAAAATCCCATTGAGTATGGCATTAAAAATATGCTGATACCACTATTTTTTCCTGTTTTTCATTTATAAACTTATACTCCCGATGCAATGCCAAAATATACCTATTAGGTAGATCAAAATACTTTCTCATATTATTTCATCGTATGCAGTATATTTTGGCACTAATATTGACGAGGTATAGAAAATATTGTAAATAATTAATCTTCGCAAAAAATCTTTTTCAAACAACAACAATGTGACTCGGTTGCTTCTACTTGAAGTGAAGAATGCTTTTCCATGTTAGACCTGTTTAGCAACAAACACGAAGATTTTGATTGCTATGCTATATACTCTTTAATATGACTCACTCACATTCGGACCAGCGCCTCAACTATTCGCTGTCTACATCTGCACTACCGTTTTGATACATATCGTGCGTTGATTAGAAAATAGCACATTGGCGCCATCTTAAGCTAATAAACAAGAATGACGTTTTTTTATACATACCAGGGCGATTTATGCTTAGATTATGCCTTTTATACCTTATTTACAAGATGCAAAAAGGTTAAAAATCTGTGTCTCACTGTCGATAACCAGATTTGGTTCCCCGCAACCTTCCAGAGTAAAATTGTATGATTACCTCTTTTTTGAATATTGTTTGTGTTTGTTTTTTACTGGTTGGAAAAAATAAACTTGGCTTTAAATTTGTTACTATTTTTTTCATAATCATACTATTGATATAGTCTTGCACACAACTGTATGTTGTCGAATTTTATGAACTGATAAAAAAACTTGTCACGAATCATCATGGAAGCACAAATAACAAATGTGACGGTTTCAAATACGTAAAGTAAATATATATGATTTTATCGAGAAAACCTTCCCCTTTTTAAAATGTGCGCTACAGTCTCGAACGATGAACATAAATTGTAACCTGATCGTTTGGAATCCCTATCCTATTATAATATCAACCAATCTGTAAACATACACTCACATGCGTACAATTTATTAAAACGATGTTTCCTTCATTTCGCAGCCTGTGAAACAACAAGTTTTATGCACTAAGTTCATTCTGAAAAATTTATTCATTGTCAAAACTTATGCAAATGTCTTTATAACTCAAGGTGTCCATTTGTTGGGAATTATACTATTTTGCCCAACTCCACAATTGAAAGAGAGGACTGTCAGTGTTTAAATAGTTAGTATTCGTAGTCTAAGTTTGATGAGTTTGATTACTAATCGTTTATCAAAATATAGCCGATCATTTCAGTCTCTTAAAAATTGAATTTTCCGATTTCCTTTATGTTTTATCAGTGAATAGTATATAGTTTTCAGTTCCCGTATTCACATCGTATTAGGATGTGATTTGAACTGGGTTCAAATGCTCACTAGCAACAAGGCCTAGATCAACTCACTCATGATAGGAGTCGAAGGCAAGGTCTACGCCCAGGATATAATGATAAAATAGGAAAAAGTTATGGATATTTTCAATGTATATATTAGATTTCGATACACCAAACCGTTATGTGCTTTACCTAACGCTTACCCTTTACCTAACTACTACCTTTATCTACTGACTACATGATGAACAAAATTTAACTAACAGAACTTTCCGAAATATTCGCTTTAGTCGAATGCAAATGTTACCGGGATGCTGCATGTTTTTTCGTGTTATTAACTAACTGGGTATATACAGCAAAGGAAAATGGACAGTTAATTTTAACTGTGTAGCAGCATATTTAATCGTCACACTGTGCCTGGAGATACTATACCAACATTTGTTTCAATCGCCTGTCATCAATACAGTTATTGCTATACTTCTATATCATAGATATCCACCAGAGTTTTTATTAGTAAATTCTTTGACAATTCGATAACTCGTTGAAATCGGTAGGATACGTCATTACGCAGACGTGATTCCAGTCAGGCCCCAATTTATAATTAGAACCAATTAAGCCAGGTGTAAACAATTATCTCTTCACCGCAATGTTTTTCAAGTCTCATTCCATATTTACGGTAGACGATTCTTTTTATTATTTTCTAGTAACCGTTACTAATTCAATTAACGTTTGAGGACGTTAAAATTGGGAGTCTCCATGATTAAATTTATTTGGAGTCGCCATTTACATAGTGTTTACATAGTACTATCGCTTATCACGTGATGTCACGCATGGTTTTAGTTGCTAAATAGCCATTTTTCTTAAATAATTCAAATTTAACGTACTATTTAATGTTAAATGTGGCGGTAAGTAATAAAATCACACAAGCAAAACTCGAATACGTGATATTTTTAGTGCTATTAGATTATTGGTAATTTGCATGATGCTTTGCTCTCTCCCAGTACGTTTGGTTTTAGTATGATATACGAGTTCAATGAAATGCGTTCGCTTTTTGTCGATAGCACACCAAGTATTTTAAACAAGGTAAGGTGTTAAGTGCTTTTAATTTACAGATACGTCATGGGGGTATCAATATCAAATTAAGATGAAAATATCCTCGATAAAAGTTGGGACATACGTGGCCATAGTCTTACTGCAAATATTTTGATGTAAAACAATATTGCCGCCAAATTTCCAGGATAATTGATTTTGGAATCAGTCCAAGTGGCCCATTTAAAAGCGAAAAAGGAGAGCGATATTATTTGCGCTTGCTATTAAAATTTCCGTTATCTGTTTCATATATATACATTGTGGGATGCATTGAATGTTCACTTGAATACATTTAGATGAAGAGCATTATGAAATTTGAGAAAATTACGTTCTAAAATAATATGCACGTGTTCAAAATTGCTAAGGAGAGTTGGAATGTAAACCTTTTACCAGGATCTGCAGCAAACACAATTCGCTTAACTTGGCACAACATTATTGTTTAATCCCAATTTAGCATTTAAAAAAAAATGGTAAATACCTTATTAAAAACTGGTTTCAAGACCTATACGCTATTATGCTACCACTATGTACCTACACTACATATTACTATATATATATTACAAATTGATTGGAATGGGTCTTTACTAAAAAAAAACATTAAACACATCCCTAAAATACATACATACAGGTTTGTGCAGATACCTTTTCGCCGGATACCTGTATTTACCAAAATTTGGAAAACGTTCCCAGGAGTGTAAAAATGACATACGGTATTTCGAAATATAACACCTAAAGTGTTTTTGCAATAATCATATACGCTAGAACATGTTTGCTTAGGTGGCAGCTGCTACTACGAAAATTTGTTTTCGCTCAGAAAATTCCATTGAATGAATATTTTGACAAAACATAGAAGAAACTAGATCGCAGATTAAAAAAAAACGGAAATAATTTCAGAAATTGGAAAAACTTTTTTTCACTCGAGCAGGTAAAGCGCATTTGTAGCTGGTGTAGTAGGAGTATACTTCTGATTTGACTTCGAATTACTACTACTTACTAAAAGCATTTTGAAGTCAATAAAAATTTGAAATCGGGCAACTTTCTTTACCGTCATATAACGTGCTGTTTTGATGATCGCTTGGCATTAGCAAAAAAACTACTTGAACTTGTCAAAATATTTTTGTCAAATACATGAAAGCGGGTCAAATATTTTTGGTAAAATGAATATTTTTTTGTTAGAGTTGGCATATTCGAAAAAAAGATTGATTTTAGTTACTAAAACTTGGATTCGTGGTATATCGAATACAACGACGTATATATCAGATATACATATCAGATGATCCTTGGTGCAAAGGTGATGTAGATTCCCTGTATTTCTGGCAAGAAATCAAGACATTACGACATTGTGGAGAACATAAAAAAAGTGACTACGATTGTCATATCAGTTCAATTGGGAGAATATAGAACTTATATAGCACTTACCTTTGTATTCGACGAGTAATATGATTTGTCAATT